TTATTTGCCCACTGTCTGTTTGCCCACTGTCTGTTTGCCCACTGTCTGTTTGCCCACTGTCTGTTTGCCCACTGTCTGTTTGCCCACTGTCTGTTTGCCCACTGTCTATTTGCCCACTGTCTGTTTGCCCACTATCTGTTTGCCCACTGTCTGTTTGCCCACTGTCTGTTTGCCCACTGTCTGTTTGCCCACTGTCTGTTTGCCCACTGTCTGTTTGCCCACTGTCTGTTTGCCCACTGTCTGTTTGCCCACTGTCTGTTTGCCCACTGTCTGTTTGCCCACTGTCTGTTTGCCCACTCTGTCTGTTTGCCCACTGTCTGTTTGCCCACTGTCTGTTTGCCCACTGTCTGTTTGCCCACTGTCTGTTTGCCCACTCTGTCTGTTTGCCCACTGTCTGTTTGCCCACTGTCTGTTTGCCCACTGTCTATTTGCCCACTGTCTGCTTGCCCACTGTCTGTTTGCCCACTGTCTGTTTTCCCACTGTCTGTTTGCCCACTGTCTGTTTGCCCACTGTCTGTTTGCCCACTGTCTGTTTGCCCACTGTCTGTTTGCCCACTGTCTGTTTGCCCACTGTCTGTTTGCCCACTGTCTGTTTGCCCACTGTCTGTTTGCCCACTGTCTGTTTGCCCACTGTCTGTTTGCCCACTGTCTGTTTGCCCACTGTCTGTTTGCCCACTGTCTGTTTGCCCACTGTCTGTTTGCCCACTGTCTGTTTGCCCACTGTCTGTTTGCCCACTGTCTGTTTGCCCACTGTCTGTTTGCCCACTGTCTGTTTGCCCACTGTCTGTTTGCCCACTGTCTGTTTGCCCACTGTCTGTTTGCCCACTGTCTGTTTGCCCACTGTCTGTTTGCCCACTGTCTGTTTGCCCACTGTCTGTTTGCCCACTGTCTGTTTGCCCACTGTCTGTTTGCCCACTGTCTGTTTGCCCACTGTCTGTTTGCCCACTGTCTGTTTGCCCACTGTCTGTTTGCCCACTGTCTGTTTGCCCACTGTCTGTTTGCCCACTGTCTGTTTGCCCACTGTCTGTTTGCCCACTGTCTGTTTGCCCACTGTCTGTTTGCCCACTGTCTGTTTGCCCACTGTCTGTTTGCCCACTGTCTGTTTGCCCACTGTCTGTTTGCCCACTGTCTGTTTGCCCACTGTCTGTTTGCCCACTGTCTGTTTGCCCACTGTCTGTTTGCCCACTGTCTGTTTGCCCACTGTCTGTTTGCCCACTGTCTGTTTGCCCACTGTCTGTTTGCCCACTGTCTGTTTGCCCACTGTCTGTTTGCCCACTGTCTGTTTGCCCACTGTCTGTTTGCCCACTGTCTGTTTGCCCACTGTCTGTTTGCCCACTGTCTGTTTGCCCACTGTCTGTTTGCCCACTGTCTGTTTGCCCACTGTCTGTTTGCCCACTGTCTGTTTGCCCACTGTCTGTTTGCCCACTGTCTGTTTGCCCACTGTCTGTTTGCCCACTGTCTGTTTGCCCACTGTCTGTTTGCCCACTGTCTGTTTGCCCACTGTCTGTTTGCCCACTGTCTGTTTGCCCACTGTCTGTTTGCCCACTGTCTGTTTGCCCACTGTCTGTTTGCCCACTGTCTGTTTGCCCACTGTCTGTTTGCCCACTGTCTGTTTGCCCACTGTCTGTTTGCCCACTGTCTGTTTGCCCACTGTCTGTTTGCCCACTGTCTGTTTGCCCACTGTCTGTTTGCCCACTGTCTGTTTGCCCACTGTCTGTTTGCCCACTGTCTGTTTGCCCACTGTCTGTTTGCCCACTGTCTGTTTGCCCACTGTCTGTTTGCCCACTGTCTGTTTGCCCACTGTCTGTTTGCCCACTGTCTGTTTGCCCACTGTCTGTTTGCCCACTGTCTGTTTGCCCACTGTCTGTTTGCCCACTGTCTGTTGGCCCACTGTCTGTTGGCCCACTGTCTGTTTGCCCACTGTCTGTTTGCCCACTGTCTGTTTGCCCACTGTCTGTTTGCCCACTGTCTGTTTGCCCACTGTCTGTTTGCCCACTGTCTGTTTGCCCACTGTCTGTTTGCCCACTCTGTCTGTTTGCCCACTGTCTGTTTGCCCACTGTCTGTTTGCCCACTGTCTGTTTGCCCACTCTGTCTGTTTGCCCACTGTCTGTTTGCCCACTGTCTGTTTGCCCACTGTCTGTTTTCCCACTGTCTGTTTGCCCACTGTCTGTTTGCCCACTGTCTGTTTGCCCACTGTCTGTTTGCCCACTATCTGTTTGCCCACTGTCTGTTTGCCCACTGTCTGTTTGCCCACTGTCTGTTTGCCCACTGTCTGTTTGCCCACTGTCTGTTTGCCCACTGTCTGTTTGCCCACTGTCTGTTTGCCCACTGTCTGTTTGCCCACTGTCTGTTTGCCCACTGTCTGTTTGCCCACTGTCTGTTTGCCCACTGTCTGTTTGCCCACTGTCTGTTTGCCCACTGTCTGTTTGCCCACTGTCTGTTTGCCCACTGTCTGTTTGCCCACTGTCTGTTTGCCCACTGTCTGTTTGCCCACTGTCTGTTTGCCCACTGTCTATTTGCCCACTGTCTGTTTGCCCACTGTCTGTTTGCCCACTGTCTATTTGCCCACTGTCTGTTTGCCCACTGTCTGTTGGCCCACTGTCTGTTGGCCCACTGTCTGTTTGCCCACTGTCTGTTTGCCCACTGTCTGTTTGCCCACTGTCTGTTTGCCCACTGTCTGTTTGCCCACTGTCTGTTTGCCCACTGTCTGTTTGCCCACTGTCTGTTTGCCCACTGTCTGTTTGCCCACTGTCTGTTTGCCCACTGTCTGTTTGCCCACTGTCTGTTTGCCCACTGTCTGTTTGCCCACTGTCTGTTTGCCCACTGTCTGTTTGCCCACTGTCTGTTTGCCCACTGTCTGTTTGCCCACTGTCTGTTTGCCCACTGTCTGTTTGCCCACTGTCTGTTTGCCCACTGTCTGTTTGCCCACTGTCTGTTTGCCCACTGTCTGTTTGCCCACTGTCTGTTTGCCCACTGTCTGTTTGCCCACTGTCTGTTTGCCCACTGTCTGTTTGCCCACTGTCTGTTTGCCCACTGTCTGTTTGCCCACTGTCTGTTTGCCCACTGTCTGTTTGCCCACTGTCTGTTTGCCCACTGTCTGTTTGCCCACTGTCTGCTTGCCCACTGTCTGCTTGCCCACTGTCTGTTTGCCCACTGTCTGTTTGCCCACTGTCTGTTTGCCCACTGTCTGTTTGCCCACTGTCTGTTTGCCTACTGTCTGTTTGCCCACTGTCTGTTTGCCCACTGTCTGTTTGCCCACTGTCTGTTTGCCCACTGTCTGTTTGCCCACTGTCTGTTTGCCCACTGTCTGTTTGCCCACTGTCTGTTTGCCCACTGTCTGTTGGCCCACTGTCTGTTGGCCCACTGTCTGTTGGCCCACTGTCTGTTGGCCCACTGTCTGTTTGCCCACTGTCTGTTTGCCCACTGTCTGTTTGCCCACTGTCTGTTTGCCCACTGTCTGTTTGCCCACTGTCTGTTTGCCCACTGTCTGTTTGCCCACTGTCTGTTTGCCCTCTGTCTGTTTGCCCACTGTCTGCTTGCCCACTGTCTGCTTGCCCACTGTTTGCTTGCCCACTGTCTGTTTGCCCACTGTCTGTTTGCCCACTGTCTGTTTGCCCACTGTCTGTTTGCCCACTGTCTGTTTGCCCACTGTCTGTTTGCCCACTGTCTGTTTGCCCACTGTCTGTTTGCCCACTGTCTGTTTGCCCACTGTCTGTTTGCCCACTGTCTGTTTGCCCACTGTCTGTTTGCCCACTGTCTGTTTGCCCACTGTCTGTTTGCCCACTGTCTGTTTGCCCACTGTCTGTTTGCCCACTGTCTGTTTGCCCACTGTCTGTTTGCCCACTGTCTGTTTGCCCACTGTCTGTTTGCCCACTGTCTGTTTGCCCACTGTCTGTTTGCCCACTGTCTGTTTGCCCACTGTCTGTTTGCCCACTGTCTGTTTGCCCACTGTCTGTTTGCCCACTGTCTGTTTGCCCACTGTCTGTTTGCCCACTGTCTGTTTGCCCACTGTCTGTTTGCCCACTGTCTGTTTGCCCACTGTCTGTTTGCCCACTGTCTGTTTGCCCACTGTGTGTTTGCCCACTGTCTGTTTGCCCACTGTCTGTTTGCCCACTGTCTGTTTGCTCAAGTTTCCGAATTCTTAAGCTTAATTTTCGAGTTGCTCTCCTCTGTTTCTGCCTCCAGTGCTACCCCGTTCTTTGCTGAGCTTTCTGCTGCACTCATTCAGAATTCATTGCCTGACTTCTGCCCTCGGCCAATCCCGTTGCTGCATTCTCCCCCCACCATCCTCTGGTCTCGGGCAAATGGAGGGCAGGCGGCAGAGCAGCAGAGCGGTGGATGCAGCCGTGTCGCGGGCGGCAGAGCAGCAACATGGCAGTCAACATCAGTCAACAAAATTCAACACCAGTCCTCGGTACTATGCATTCCTTTCACTGCACCCGCTCTCTACTTCGCTCTCTTATAACACTGCAGTTGTAGTGGCAGTGGCAGGAACTTGGGACGTTATAACACTGCAGTAGTAGTGGCAGCGGCATCAATCTGTGACATTGAAACACTGCAGTAGTACTGGCAGTGGCATCAACTTGGGACAGTAGAATTTAGAGCACTGAGTCGTGGTGGCAGTAGCAGGAACTTGGGACATTAGAGCGCTGCATTAGTAGTGGCAGTGGCAGAAGCTTTATTTGCAACGCCCAGCACCACCCGCGGTTATTGCTGCACACTTGCCTTGGTATTGTGTTGGAGGGCGATGGGGCGTGACAAGACAAGGCGTGTGCTCTGGAGTGTGACAAGGCGTGTGCTCTGGAGTGTGACAAGGCGTGTGCTCTGGAGTGTGACAAGGCGTGTGCTCTGGAGTGTGACAAGGCGTGTGCTCTGGAGTGTGACAAGGGCACGTACGCTGGAGAGTGTGTGACCTACACAGGTTTAAATTGCGCATTTGCTCTTTAGATCTGCTCATTATTTGCTAATTTGCTCTTGTAAGAATGTTACTAACTGCACTCTACCCATCTGCAGTCAAGTCATCAGATAGCTCTACAAAGGATCTTCCCCTTCTAAGCTCCCATTGGTCAACCACCTCCTTGGCAGCCAGCAGAGCAGATCTTAGCTCCCCCAGGTGCACCTCTGTTACCACCTGATCTCGAATGCACGCCCTGCAGGCCGTGACCGTGTGACACTTGGCGGGCTGCCATTGGCTGAAGCCGTTGGCGTCGAGGCAGTTGTCGGTGTAGGTGGAGAGGTTGCGATGCTCGTTGCGCCACATGAAGTAGTGCACTCCCCACCGCAGTGCGATGCTGCAGAGAACAGATGCAGATGCAGATGCAGTCAGTCAGAAGACGGGGGGAGAGGACATGAGACAGTCACCCCACAGACATGATCTCATGAGGACATGATCTCAAGCGCCTTGCGACACCACAGACACCCCACGATACCCCCCCACTCCATCCCCCCCCACCACCACCCACCGCTTGTACGCGCCATAGTGCCACATATATGGCATGATCTCAAGTGCCGCCGCCCCTTTCTGCAGCAGCACCACGTTGGCCATGGACGCCCCGTGCATCGAGACAAGCAACGCCGTCCGATGCATCGCCCGCACCTGGGCGGCGAACGGCATGGCCTGCAGGTGAGGATGGCAAAGGGGCAGCAGGGAGGCGGTAATGGGAGGAAGCTATTTCAGAAAGAAAACAGCAAACCAGCTTCTTACAGTCTCTGAAACGACCAGATGGACCGGCAGTGTTGGGAAGACATGAGAGAAGAGATGAACCAGCTAAAATGGAGGAGAAGAGAAGAGAGTTGGCAGATAAATGTACCTCCAGCGAGACGACCTTGACAGGCAGGTGGGGAAAGACGGCCCTGAGTAGCCCAACCATGGGGCGGAAGTTGCTGATGGTGCGCATGCCCTTGCGCTCCACCACTGTTATCTGCCATGCCACCCTCCTCCCTGCAGCCCGCCTCCCACTCTCTCCATGCCCCAGCTGCCGCCGCTGCTGTTGCTGCCGCTCTCTGCTGCTCACATTTGTTGTTCCCTCGGCTTTAAGGTGTCTCACGGGGAGGTCTCCCTTCCTCAACTGCAGCTGCAGCAGGTGTCTGCTTGAGTGGGACTTCATGCTTCCTCTGCCCGTCGCGGCTCTTCTGACACCTGAAGCAGTTGAAACAACTGAAGCACCTGAAACATGTGAAATTACCCCCTTTTTCTCCCCTCCCTTGCCAGGACGACTTATTTTCCAATCCCCCCCTTTCTCTCCTGCTTTCTCCTCCTTACCATCCTCTCTCTCATTCCTCCTTTTCCCCCCATTCCCCCCATTCCCACCATTTCCGCCTCCCTTATCCCTTTCACTGTGTTTATCTGTTCCTTTTCTCCTCTCCCCACCACTCACACTTGCATTTGCATTCTTCTCACTTCCCTCACTGCTCCTCCCTCCCTTCTCAACTTTCTTCTCACTTCCCCCATTCTTCTTCCCTTTTTCCTCATCTTTCTTATCCTCCCCACTGCTCCTCCCTTTCTTATCAATTTTCTTCTCACCTTCCCCACTGCCTCTCCCTCCTTTCCCTCCCCCCTTTCTCTCTCCATTCTTCTCACCCACATCCCCCTTTTCCACCCCCTTCTCCACCCCCTTCCGCCCTCCATCCTTCACACTACCCCTCCTCAACCCCCCTCCCCGTCCTCTCCCCCCTCTCTCACCCCCTACCCCACGCTCCCCTCTCCCCCCGCCACTCCCCCCCACCCGTTCAATCTCATCCGTCCAAACCCGCGGATCGGCCTGCTGGGCTTTAAGGGTCTTGCCAAGCCCGGCGCCCTGGGCCACCCAGAGGCGGAAGAGGTCAGCAGAGGAGGGCGCGTGGGCGATGGAGAGCGGGAAGAAGGCGTCCTGGAAGCACGTCGTGTGCGTCCACACTCGCCCTGCCTCCACTGCTGGTGTTGACTCTGCTGCCACTGGTGTTCCTCCTGCTGATGTCACTGCTTCTCCCCCTGCCGCCAGTGCCGCCCCGGATTCCCCTGCTGTGTCTACTTCACCCTTCTTGATCTGCTGTCTCGTGCCCTTGAGCCCTCGCATGCCCGCGTGGTCTTTCGTGCCTTGATGCTCCCGCATGGCTTGGGGGACTCTCATGCCTTGGTAATCCCGCATGGCTTGAGGGCCACGCATGGCAACCGCGCCAGCTGCCGCTACCCACCTTGATATTCCCGCACTGAGAGGGGTGGGTGAAGGAGGAGGGCAGGAACGGGAAGTAAGACGAGCGAGGGGAGGGGAAAAGAGGAGGAGAATGAGGGGAGGAAGGAGGGATGTGGAGATGGGAAGATGGGAAGGAAAAAATTGAAGGAGAGACAAGGGAAGCAGAGCACTCACTCACCCACTTGGAAAGAAGAGCACCGGCTGCACGTCAACCCTGCCCCCCTCCTTTCCACCATCCCCACCAGCAGCAGCAGCCGCACCACCACTGACACCATCAGCATCACCAGCGCCAGCACCAGCACCAGCACTACCAGCACTGTCACCACCAGCAGCAGCAGCAGCATCAGCAGCCGTCCCTCCCCCAGATGCCACCTCCCTGCCTGGAGAATCCTTGCCTCCCGCTGCCACTTGCGTGCCTGGCACGTCCGTGTCCCTCTTGCCAGTGGGCAGGTGTGAGGCGAGTTCAGTCATGGCACCAATGAACTCCACGAAGTGACCCAGGTGCCCGTCTCGCAGCGACACCACGCCCACGCCCCGCCACTCCTCCGGTTGCTCGACTGAGATGGCGAATGAGGCGTTGTTAGTGGTGAACGCACTACCCGAGTAACCACTGCTGCTGCTGCTGCTGCCGCCGCCGCCGCCGCTGCTGCTGCTGCTGCTGGTGCCAGCAGCAGCGGCAGGGACGGGGTGAGCAGGCGGGCGGCCGTGCAGGAAGAAGAGGTCAGCATCACTGGCATGCACAAACGGCCCCACGCGCCCACTCAGCTCCGGCACATCCCGCACGTCCGCACTCGAGAAGTGCTCCTTCCTCAGCGGCTGGAGAGCGGATTTCCCCGTGCAGATGTTCTCAGAGAGGTTCAACCGGGACAGGTCGTATCTGGGGTCCTTCCAGAACCACACGCCCACGTGGCGGTCCGTGATTCGTTCTCGCAGCATGATCTTTTCAATCTCGTGGTTGGCGACGGGGACGGAGTGGAAGAGGGGGTTGAAGGCGTAGCACACGTTGCGCACCCACAGGGCGCACGCGTAGTCGCCCTGCTGCTGTAACAGGCGCAGGAAAGTCGCGTTGGCCTCTGCTGGTATCGAGTCGGCTGATAGCGAGTCGGTAATGGGCCTGCCCGCACTAGCCGCAGCAGCAGCAGCAGCAGCGTTACCCCTACTTGCACCACCAGTGCCGGCACCAGCCACACCAGCACCAGCACCCTCAGCACCTTCACTGTCACTATCGCCAGCTGCTGCTGCTGCTGCTCCTTCCTTCATGAGAGCGCCCCACCCGCCCTCCTCCTCCCCCCCCTCCTCGTCCTGCTCGCGGAAGGCGGGGTCGGGGAGCGGGTTGCTCATGCGCCACCCGTGCGCCCGCAGCCAGTCGCTGAGGCTCTGGCTGTCGCAAGGGGCACACAGATGAAACGGAGGTTCAGGGAGATGTAACCGGGGTCCGGGACAAGCAGTTTCAGTGGAGAGTCCATGACAGAGAAGGGATGTAATGCAGAGAGGGGAGGAGGGGGGGGGGGGGGGGGGGACGGAAGGGATGTAACGAAGGGGAAAAGGGTAACGCACTAGGGGGGAAGAAAGGGATGTAACGAGGGGGGAAGGGATGTAACGAGAGGTGATGGAATGTAACGTACCGCTGGGTCCAACGTGTATGGCGATGAGGCACGAGCACCAGCAGCCTCTTCAGAGGCCGACTGAGCGTCAGAGTGAGTGTGAGAATGTGGGCGGCCAGAGGGGTTTTTCCGAAACATGCCGTGCCTGATCCGCACATGCCACGGGTACTGCTGTTGACTTTGTTGCTGGCTGCTTTTCTGGTGATTGTGACTAAATCGAGGGTGCCGTTGCGAGACAGGATCGGTCGTTAGCGAAGCCACGTGGGATCGATGCAATTCGCCTATGAGCACGAGGAGGAGGATTAGCGACGCCACGCCGTACAGTAACAGCGCGCGAATCAAGCCGTCGCTTTTAACGGGGGATTTGGATTTCGCAGGCGCGGGTGTGACTGCAGCGAATGTTCGTTTGCCGTATATCGGACTCATGGCTCCTCTGAAATGTGATTTATTTTCGCCGGCATTTGCGGGACCGCGGGACGAAGACGGAGGGCTGGAAGCGGGTGAGGCGAGGGATGGCAGGTGTGGCGAAGGGGAGGACGACGGCGAATCGTGTAACGCTCTTCGCGAAACCGTTGCTTTCGCCGCGCCGGAAGCTTTCGCGACGACCTCCGTCGGTCGGTCGGGCTGCGCTGCTCGCGCGAAGCCAGACTGCTGCTGCGGCCGATTCCGGGGCGTTCGAGCCATGACGCGCGCGTGGGGCACGCCGAACGATGATAATGTCGTGCGTGGAGTCAAGCGCGGGGGCGAATCAGGAGAACGACATTAGGGTGTGGTGGAGACTCAATTGGTAGGTAAATAATAGTGGCACCTAATAACCGCCGACCCCCACCAACTTATATATTGTTCGCGTTACAGAGCTGCCCCACAAACAGAAGTTTGTATAATCTACTCAGCACATATATTTTGGTTCCAGCGTTATCGGGTTCAGTGCAAGGCTGGAAATTTTGAGGCCCGGGACTTTGTTGGACCAACCACAGCGGCTCGGCTGCGATGCTCCGAACCTAGCGTCCCTCCTTCACAAGCCCCGCCACTGGCTGGGCTCTGGTCTGGGCTGGGGCCGCTGCCCAACCACTTTGGAGCAGCTACGGTCACGATGAAACCGACGTAGAATCTGGTTCCGGGACTTCATCCTGAGGACTTTCTGAACAAACAACTCCGTTTCTTTGCCCAACATTAGGACTTTGCGGTTTCATCAACCAGAAAGCATATTAAATCTCTTAAGAACGTTATTTATCTCTTAAAAAAAAAAGCCAAAAAGTAATCTCGCAACTTCTCTCCTCCACAGTGCTACCATCTTACTGTACTGTTTGTGATTCCTGGATATGGCTGGAAACATGTGGTTGCACAGTCCACAGAGCACAAACCATCACTCAAGTCTGGTTCGTCATGAAAACACCATCATTCCCTTCTCCGCGTGAGTCGCGCACACAGCGTTCCGAAGTTTGTCGAAGGTGTGAAGAATCGAAGAATCGTCGCGTTTGCGGTACGGAATCCATCTCAAATCTTTAGATAATTTGCACGCCAGCCTGCTCCCTGTGAAAGGCTGAGCAAGACTGCCTTTCTTTCATCCGTGACAGCTTCGCGGCTTCATTGTTTCTCTTCCTCTCATTGTTGCTTCTTCTCGAAGCGGGAGCTGTGCTGCCTGGTCGAGCTTCACGTATTGCTATGTCACATCGACTATTGTCAATCCTGACGTCACCACCTCCCGATAAGCTCGCATCGCCGTCTGTGATACTCGTGGTAGGGTAATGCAGCGGCATGTCGACCATCGTTGTGACAAACGAAATGCGACCTTCGTCGGCGAGTTTAAAGTGACTTATTAGTCATTTTCAATTTAAGAAAACTCTATGTCTTGACTCCTGGAGGAGCTTGAATCCCTACGCGCGGATCCGTCGCTTGCATTCGACCAGAGCAGTCGCTTAGAGCAATCCAGTTTCTCGGAAATAGTCGAAACGTATCGCGATTCGCGTACGAGAAGAATGCGAGGCGATATCGAGCTCGGTACTTCATAATAGTGATGAACATATGACGAATATATATACCTCATGCTTCTGATAGCGGAGCGGCGCGAGCGTTCCGACACCTAGGTCCGACGTGTCGGTCGCTGATAGGTAAGGGAAGGATGGGGGTTGACGTGGGCCAGGAGTCGAAGCGGCAGACAGACGTGGTGTTCGACGGGCACCGATGGACCAAGTACGGCCAGAAGGTGCTGCTGCACTCCAGCTTCGTGCGGTGAGTGCTTATAACGGGGTCCTGAGTGAGAATGAGTTGTGACGGGGCCCTGAGTGAGGCCCATTACAATTCACAGCACAGCATAATCACCCCACCCCGCTACTCCAATCGCAAACAGAATCGCCCCACCCTGCATCCCCCCAACTAAACCCACAATCTCTCTTCTCCCCCACCCTTTTCCTCCCATCCCTCTTATCCCCGTTACAAGGTCCTACTACCGGTGCAGCTACTGCAGCGCGGCCAAGGGGTCATGCCCGGCGCGCAAGCTAGTCGACCGGCACCTGTCCAACCCCCACGAGATCCGCGTGGGGTACCACGGGCGCCACAACCACGCGGGCCTCAGCCCCGCGTCGCCCACCATCCAGCGCTCCGTCACTCCCCCCCCGGATATGTCCGAGTCATCGCAGAGCATGGCCGCTGCTGCTGCTGCCGCTGTCGCTGCTGCAGAGGCGTCGGGTTCTGTGATGGGCGGTGGTGCGGGGGGGACCGGGGAGGCGGGGTTGAGCGGAGGTGAGTGAGACTAACATAGTGCACCCTTCTTTCTCCCCCGCCTCCTCCTCGCCCTGGTCCTCCATCCATCGGCTGTTTCTCAACCTCCCCGCATCTGCTGATTCCGATTCCTCTCCACCGTTTCAACCTTGTCCTTTTGCGGTGCGGGTGCAGGTGGGGAAGGTCAGTCTGTGGCAGAGGGGGGGAATGCGCGGATCCCAATGCAGTTTGGGGATTTGGGGGGGGAGGGAGAGGAGGGCGCGGAGGGGGGTGAAGGGGGGGGCCAAGACCTGGACTACAAGTGAGTCGGCTGCTGCTGCATGGGTGCTTTACGTTTGATTGTTCTCAATTTGAGTGGACTCAAACTGCTATACTGAGCTCTCTGTGCTATCAGAAAGGGAAGTGACTTGTCCCTGTTCCTCCACTCCCCTCCCCTGATCGTCCCCTGCACCAATCGTCCAACGTGACAGAACGTTTGAAGCCATGCTGAGCCACGGCGAGGAGATTCTGGTGGGCATGGACGACGAAGGGGGGGGCGAGGAGGAAGGGGGGGAGCAGGGGGAGGGGGAGGTGGAGGGTGGTAGGGAGGGGGCGCAGCAGGGGGGGCGGGGGGAGCAGGCGGAGGTGGATGAGCGCAGCTGGCGGTCGCTGCAGCTGCCTGAAGATGGGTACCTGTGGGACCCGCCCCGCCGCCACAAGCCGCTCGTCAACTCCATGTACATCCGGTGCGTGGGGGGAGGGGTAAGGGTGGCAAGGGGTGCGCTTATGCATGTTGTGATGATGGGGTGGGGCGCTGCAGCTGCCAGGGGATGGGTACCTACCTGTGGGACCCGCCTAGACGCCCCAAGCCCCTCGTCAACGCCATGCATTGATGCACATTCCATCCCCGCTTTCTGCCCATTCCCCTCCCCACAGGGTGGTGTATCGGTGTGCATACCACCTGGAAGGCAGCGCCAGGTGTCCAGCAGTGCGAGTGGTGGATATCCACCGCGCCAACGCGTCCTCCCTGCAGCTCACCTACACGCGCCCCCACTGCCACCCCCAGCCCGTCCGCATTCGCCTCACCCGCCGCCCCGCCACCCCCCGCTCCTCCACCCCCCCCTCCGCCAGCCCCCCTTCCGCCACCCCCCCCTCCGCCACCCCCCCTTCCGCCAGCACCCGTTCCGCCACCCCCCCCTCCGCCCCTCCCCGCGCCACAACCCCTCGCTCGCGCTCCCTCTCTGCTGGCAGGCGCAAGGGGGAAGGGGGCGGGCGTGGGGAAGGCAGGGGAGGGGCTGAGGACGGGGGAGGAGTGGGGGGATGGGGAAGATCTGGGGAAAAAGGGGTGGGGGGCGGGGCGGAAGTGGAAGTGAGGGCGCTGGGGGGTGTGGCTGGGGTGGTGGGAGCAGATGGGATGGGTGGAGTGGATGGGGCGGTGGGAGCAAACGGGACAGGCAGAGCAGAAGGGATGATAGGAGGAGAAGGGATGGTGGGAGGTGGGGGGGTGGTGGGAGGAGAAGGGGTGATAGGAGGGATGGTGGGAACATGGGCAGGTGTTAGGGGTGACTCTGGCCTAAGTGCTGGCACTGGTGGTGGTGGGGGAGGTGGTGGTGGTGGTGGTGGTGCGTTGGGTGCACAGGTGGCGTTGGGTGCACAGGGGGCGTTGGGTGCGCATGGGGCATTGGATGAAGGTGGGGCGTTGGATGAAGGTGGGGCGTTGCCTGTGCCAGGAGGGGTGTGTGGCACTACTGACAGGCTGGGCCCAAGCCCGCCGCTCAAGCGAGCAAAGCTCTCAACACCTACGAATCATGCAGCACCCCTCCATCCTGCATCGAGTGCGCTCACCCGCACGGTTTCAGGGCAGGACCAGTCGTGGGGGGGCTTGATGGGAGGAGGGATGGGAGGAGCAGGAGGAGCAGGGATGGGAGGAGGAGCAGGAGGAGGAGCAAGAGGAAGGGGGGAGAGATGGGGTGCAGGAGGGGCACGGCGAGTGGAAGGAGGGTTGACTCGAGCGTTTCGGGAGGCGGAGGCTGGGAAGGGTGGGGCGACGGCTGGGCTTGGGTCTGCTTCGTTACAAGCACATCCTTTACTGTCAGAACCGTTACAAGCAGAAGCGTTTCAGGAAGGGCTGTTAGAGGGAGACTCGCTGCCGGATGAACCGTTACAGGAGGAGCTATTACAGCAGCTGCAGCAGATGCAGCAACTGCAGCAGCTACTGCAAGGAGAAGAACCGAATGCCCTGAAAGACATGCTGCCGCAGCAGGAACAGCAGCAGGAGGAGCAGCAGCAGCAGCAGCAGGTGAAACAGCAGTCGCAACAGCAACAGCAGCCTAATCAGCAGCAGCAGCAGCAGCAGGAGCAGCAGCAGGTGCAGCAGGTGTTAGGGGTAAACACTATAAGCAGGAGTGGATCCCTGGCACAGCAAGATATCAAGGGATCAATAGCAGGTACAGCAGTGTCACCAGCTGACGTGCCTCGCACAAACTTCCACGCGGGAGGGCCAATGGAAGTTGCCAGCACAGCGGCTGCTGCTGGGGCTGGAATTCGTTCCTTACAACGCCAGCACCATCTTGCATTGGATCAGCTCGGGGCAACGACACCTACCACCACCACTGCTCCTCTCCCTGCTTCTGCCGCTGTCGCATCTGCCGCCGCTGGTGCCACTGCCGCTGCAGCTACTGCATTCGCTGGTGCTGCTTCAAGCCCACCATATTTATCGCCTCACCAGCCCTCCACGCCCCACTCCAGCCCCACAGACAGCGTCACCACTGCAACACACACTTGCCCCGTCCCCCTACCTCCTCGTTTCCCTCCCCCAGGCCTTTCCTTGGCTGCGATTTCACCTGGCATTTCGCCTGGCACTTCACCTGGCGTCTCCCCCTTAGGGGGAACTTCCGCTGCCATTTCTCCTGGCAGCAGGTTCGGTGCGAACCTGTCTCATACTGTGCCTATGCTCGGTCCGGCACCTCGGCTCAACCGAACCAGCAGCACAGCCACGGCAGCAGCAGGAGGACTAACAGGCACGGGTGCTGGGAACATGGCAGGAAAAGGTACGGCTGCAGGGGCAGAAATTGGTGTGGGAGGAGCAGGTACGGGCACAAGCACAGGAGCAGGCATGGGCACAAGCACAGGAGCACCAGCAGATGCTGCTGGGACTGCTACTGCTGCTGCTGCTGCTGCTGCTGCTGCTTATCTTTCTGGGGGAAGGTCTGTGTCAGCACCCCTGCCCATCCCTCGCCGGTCCTCTTTTACTGGCCCGAACAACCCTTTCTTTCCCTCCTCTCGCTCCCTTACCCCGCCAAAAGTGCTGCAGCAGCAGCAACAGCAGCAACAGCAACAGCAACAGCAGCAACAGCAACAGCAACAGCAGCAACAGCAACAGCAACAACAGCAGCAGCAACAGCAGCAACAGCAACAACAGCAGCAGCAACAACAGCAGCAGCAGCAACAGCAACAGGAGCAGGAACAGCAACAGCAGCAGCAGCATCTGCAGCAGCAGCAACAGCAACTGCAGCTGCTGCTCCTACTGCAGCAGCAGCAGCAGCAGCAGGTGTCTCCTGCTCATTCCCCCACCACCACACAGGCAGTTGGTCTTGCTCCAACCTCCTCCCCCACATCCCCCACTGCTTCTGCCCTTCTCACAGCACTGCACTTGCACCACGCCCCATCACCCACCCACCACACCCACTCACCCCTGCACTCCGCACCTTCACCCGCCCACACGCCTCAATCTCTCTCCCAAACCCTAGACCAGCAACCCTGGCCTGCCCTGCCCTACACTGCGCGATCATCAGGGGGTTTCCCCCCCTCCTCTTCCCCCGCCGGCAGCACTGGCACTGGCTTAAGCACGGGTACTAATTTAAGCACTGGTACTGGGTTGAGTCCCGGTGTAGGTCTAAGTGCTGGCCCTGGGTTAAGTGGAGGTATGGGCCTAAGCACTGGTACTGGGTTAAGTCCAGGTGCGGGCCTAAGTGCTGGTACTGGGCTTAGCACGGGGGGTCTGAGTGCAGGGGCTTTGAGTGGTGGGGGCATGGGAGGGGGGTTGAGTGCAGGGGGAGTGAGTGGTGGGGCAGAAGCACAGGGAGGGGGGGGGGTAGTTGGACTAGGTAACCCTGCTGATTCGAGTGGTTTTGGTAGGTTGAACAGAGCAGGGGCATTGCTTGGGGAAAATGGGTTCGAGGGTATTCACCCTGTGCGTGTGGGTGATTCTATTGGGTGTGGGTTGGGTGGGAACGATGCGGGTGCTATAGAGGCTGGGCTAGCTCAGAACAAGCTTCAGCAGATGCTGTTGCAGCAGCAGCAGGAGAGGCTGCAGCGGCAACAGGTGCAGCTGCAGCTTCAGCAGGAGCGACTGAAGTGGCAACAGCAGCAGCAGGAGTTGATGAGAGTGCAGAATGAGCAGAGGGAGCGAGAGGAGCAGAAGCGGGCGGAAGAGCAGTTGTTGCGAGACCTGCAGCAGCAGAGCGAGTCGCAGCAACAGCAGCAGCAGCAGCAGGAACAACATAACCAGCAGCAACAGCAGCAGCCAAGGCAACAGAATCAACATAATCAGCAGCAGCAGCAGCAGCAGCAGCAGGAACAGCAGGAACAGCAGCAGCAGGAACAGCAGGAACAGCAGCAGCAGCGAAGGCAGCAGGAGCAGCCGATTTTCGCGCGGAGAATGCTGGCCCGGCAGGGGCTGTTAGAACGCCTACCCAGTGATGCCTCCACTGCCGGCAACCTCGCGAGCGTACGGGGACTCTCCCCTCTGCAGATGCAGATGCAGGCAGACGCCGAGGGAGGAGATGCCTTTGCGGCAGGATCAGCTGGTGGTGGGGGTGGGGGTGATGATTTGCTGCTTAGTTTTGCAGCAGCAGAGCCAGGTGTTTCCGCAGGTGGTTCTGGGGCTGTGGGCGATGCGGCCTTTTCAGCCGGCAGCAACGCGCGACCGGCATGGATGGGAACGTGGGAGGCACCTGAAACCAACGGTCAGGATCCTCCGGATGAGCTCCCGTCTTTCCTCAAGGATATCCAGACAGGAGGGCTGTCGACACTAGGAGGAGGGGGGAGGGGGGCGGCAGCAGCGGCAGGGGGTGTGGGTGGGGGGACAGTGGCACGGCTGTCGTCAGTAGAAGGGAGGGAGCTGCAGAACCTGCTTCGCTTTGGCAGTATGGGGGGGCTTCTAGCCCCTCCGCTTTCTAGACTTGGCTCCCTAGCGGCAGGGGGAGCAGCAGCAGGAGGAGGGGCAACAGGAGGAGGAGGGGGAGGAGGAGGGGGAAACGAGAGGGAGACAGTGGCACGGTTGTCATCAGTGGATGGGCGGGAGCTGCAGAACCTGCTTCGCTTTGGCAGCATGGGGGGGCTTCTAGCCCCTCCTCTTTCCAGGCTAGGGTCCCTGGCGGCAGGGGGAGGGGCACCAGAAGCGGGGTCAGCTGGGGGAGGAGGGGCAGGAGGAGGGGGTGGGGCGGGGGGTGGAGTGGGAAACGAGAGGGAAACAATGGCACGGCTGTCATCAGTGGATGGGCGGGAGCTGCAGAACCTGCTGCGCTTTGGCAGCATGGGGGGGCTTCTGGCTCCTCCACTCACACGTCTTGGCTCACAGGCAGCAGCAGCTGCTGCAGCTGCCACTGCTGCCACTGCTGCTGCTGCTGCTGCTGCTGTCCAGAGACGAAGTCCTGAACGTTCCCCTGTACACTCACCAGCTACACCGGCTGCAGCAGCAGGTGGTGCTTCTAGGCTGCAACGCACTGGCTCTCCTGTCTATCGACCCTCCTTCTCGCCTCCTTCTCGTCCTTCCCTCTCCCCACCCTCTCACCGCCCTCCCTCCCCTCCTGCTCCTCGTCCTCCCTCCCCGCCCGCTGCCCGCTCTCCCTCTCCCCTTTCCCGCCCCTCCCTCTCGCCGCCCAAGCGCCGCCCAGGCTCCCAGCCCACCCACCGCCTGGCTTTTGAGTCAACTCAAAATTTATCCTGCCCAGGCTCCCCTCCTGCCCATTGTCTGGCGCGCGTGGATTCGCTCACTTCCAACTCGCCCCTCACGTCGCCCACTCCTGTGGTTTGGGGGAAGCAGCGCGCAGGGTATGGGGACGGCCTGGCTGATGGGGGGTGGGAAAGGAGGGAAAGAGAGGGGGAGGGTATGGGAGAAGGGAGAAGAGAGGAAGGAGAAGAAGGAGGTGGGGAGGGAGGTGGGGAAGGAGGAGGGGAAGTGGGTGGAGAGGGAGAGGGAGCAGGAGAGGGAGGGGGAGAGGGAGGGGGAGAGGGAGGAGGAGAAGGAGGAGGAGAAGGAGGGGGAGGGGACAAGGGGAACGTTGGCAGTGGTGGCGGTAATATGGGTCTGGGAATGGGCATGGGGATGGCGATGGGTGGAGAGGGGGAGTGGGGGACACCAGGGTCCAGGCAAAGGGGTCACCAGGGGGATTTACTCAGTCTGCTGCGCTATGGCAGCATGGGTGGGCTTATTCTCGCCGCCAAGTCACCCCCCTCTGCCCCCACTCCTCCTGGAGCCGCTCCTGGTTTTTCTCCTGGGTTTTCCCCTGGGTTTTCTCCTGGCCGTTCCACTCGGTGTTCCCCTGGGTTTTCACCTGGGCACTCCCCAGGGCCCTCCCGTCTCCCCCCCCTCCCAGCGGGACAGAGGGGGTCTTTCAGGAGCCACCCTGCCCCGGACCCCCTTGCCGGTGAGGTCGTCGCTGCTGCTAATTCTGTCGCTGCTGCTAATTCTGCCGCCGCTGCTGCTGATGCTAATGGCACCGCTGGTGGTTCTGCTGTTGCTGGGGAAGCAGCAGGGACGAGCATGGCGGCAGCGTCAGGGTCACCCATGCCATCCGCGCAAGGAGGGCAGCAGGGCAGGCAGGAGCTGGGGCTGAATGGGCGAGCATCAGCACTCAGAGCAGACGCTGCTGCTGCCTTCAGGTTTGCCCCTTATGCCCCTGTTCTTCACACCTGGTACCGTTTTTCAAACCGTTCATATGTCCATCTTCTCCCTTCTCGGCATTACCATTCAACTCAGCATCTGGTTCCCCCCATGCCATCTTCTCCCTTCTCGGCATTACCATTCAACTCAGCATCTGGTTCCCCCCATGCCATCTTCTCCCTTCTCGGCATTACCATTCAACTCAGCATCTGGTTCCCCCCATGCCATCTTCTCCCTTCTCGGCATTACCATTCAACTCAGCATCTGGTTCCCCCCATGCCATCTTCTCCCTTCTCGGCATTACCATTCAACTCAGCATCTGGTTCCCCCCATGCCATCTTCTCCCTTCTCGGCATTACCATTCAACTCAGCATCTGGTTCCCCCCATGCCATCTTCTCCCTTCTCGGCGTTACCATTCAACTCAGCATCTGGTTCCCCCCATTCTCCCTTCTCCCACTTTTTTCTCATTCCACCTTCTCCCTCTTCCTCCTCCCCCAGCCCGGCCGGCCAGGCAGCAGGGGAGGCAGCATGGACAGAGACAGGACGGAAGGAGATCACCCACGCTGCCACAGGCAGGCGCATGGAGAGGTGGGTGGGCGCATGGAGAGGTGGGTGGGCGCATGGAGAGGTGGGTGGGCGCATGGAGAGGTGGGTGGGCGCATGGAGAGGTGGGTGGGCGCATGGAGAGGTGGGTGGGCGCATGGAGAGGTGGGCGGGGAGGGGGTGGGGAGGGGGTGGGGAGGGGGTGGGGAGGGGGTGGGGAGGGGGTGGGGTGTTGCACACCGGGGTGGGGTTCAGAAGGGTATGCGAATTTTGTCTGAGTTGAGTCCTCATTTACAACGCTGTTCCAGTTGGTTGCACATGCCATATAGAATAATAACTCTAAATATCTGTGATGAATCATGTGTCATGTGCCCGCCCATTGCAATCTCAACTAAAGCCACTTCCTGTCCCACCTTCCCTCAACCCTGCCAGGTTTTATTTCGGTTGTTCCGTTCCGGGCTGCCCGGCGCGAAAAGTTGTGGATGTTCAGCTGCCCAGTTGCCGCCCCATGAGCCCTGCTGTTGTAGATAGCGTGTACTGTGGGGAGGAAGGGGGAGAAGGAGGCAGAGGAGGCGAGGGGGGGGAGGGCTGGGGGAACGAGGAGAGAAGAGAGCGGATGGAGGAGAGCGGTGGGGAGGGCGGGCCTGGGGAAGGGGTGATGACTGGAGGAGCGGGAAATCCAGGTGGGAAGAGGAGAAGAGGGCAATGGCTGGGGGAAGGTGGGGTTTTCGGCACTAAGAGGAGTTGTGCTGAGCCTGCTGCAGCAGGGGCTGGGTACGACTGGGAAGGGGAGGTCACCGGGCAGGTGACGGAAACTTTTTACGGGTTCCATCTGGGGCACACCCAACCGTCCCCCTCCTCTCTCTTCCACTCCGCGCCTACTGCAGCAGCTGCTGCTGCTGCCGTCACTCGTTCCGACGCTCACTTGCCGTCAGCTCAAACCGCCAATGAGACAGCCTCTGTAACAGGGTTACCACCAGTGCAGGGTGGTTCTGAGGTGCGTCCATGCCTTGATCACTCCAGCGGTCTCCCATGGGCCCATGGCGGGTGTGAGGTGCTTGCAGGGTGTGGGAATCAACGAAGTCTTGAGAAATCCCAAGGGTCGCGTGCAGGGTTAGAGTCAAATGGGCACGCCAACATCTTGCGAGTCTCTTCTCTCCCACCCAACTCCTCTTTGATGCCCTCACAACCCTCCATCCCTCAACCCCCAACCGACCGCACACACCCCTCCTCGCAGCCTTCCCCCCAGCCCTCACCCGCAGCGTCCCCTGCCTCTTCCAATCTGCTCGCCCCTCTCCCACGCTCCCTTGCTCGCCAGAGGCCCGTGGTCTCACTCTCGCCAAACCGGGACAGTTTTCCGGGCAGTTACGAAGGATTAGGGCAGTTTGAAGGGCAGGGAACGGAAGACAATTAGGTCCCTTGGCTTTGATGGAATGAAATGCTTCTGGTTACATGGTAAAAGCAGCGTATTCCAGCCTGCAATGTGCCTATGCACCTCATATTCCGTATCACTCGTATCCAGATGGGCTATTCAGAGCTATGGTTGGAGACTCTGCATGATTAGTCACAAATTCTTAAACACATGTAGACAAAAAATGCAATAAATAAGCATCCCCAGTTTCTTCGGCCAATAGCTGGCCTCCCGATGGAGCAGCATCACCAAGAGGGCTGACGCACCTCGTGGATCCAAACCCGCTAACGAATTCATCGTGTCAATCCCTGTAAAGCGTATCACTGCATCAAGACTTCCAACCTGTCGGCCAGCGACAGAATTTGTCGCAGCAGCGCGACCTTCTGTTTCGCACAGGCACTCGCAGCCTCCGCGGCTTTCTCGCCCTCAGGCCCGCCGCGCGCAACCTTGCTCCCGCACGCATGGCAGCACACGCCCTTCACGATAATCTTTTGCAGCTTCGGGCAGTGCAGCGCGATCGTCGCAATTGCCCCGGCGTCGAAATCTACGTCGGTCAGAACCAAAACTTCGAGCTCGCGATGGAAAACAGTCGCGCCCGACGCTGCTGCGAAAGGGCAGATGTTCGCGAGAGCGCCGGGGGTTTGAATCGATCCGCCGAAGAGCTCAAGCAGTCGCAAGCCCGCGCATTTGCGAAGCGCGAAAAGATCGTCGACCTCGAGCCCGCCGTTGTGAATTCGCAGGCACGTCAGGTCCCTCCACGCGATCACCATGAGGTAAATCGCCTGCTTCGTAACGCTGTTTCGCGAAAGGCTCGCGAAATGTCGCACGTTTCGGAAGCCCGAGGTGAGATACCACATGCACCGCGTCTCAAGAGCCCCGAACGACGTCTCTACCCCCCCTGACGTCAGCTCGATGCTCTGAACCTGCTTGCAATAGAGCGAAATAATCCATAAAATACTGCAAATCGACGCTTCGTTCCGGCTCGTGCTGTCCTGATCGCAGTCGATAACCACGTGACGAAGCGACTCGCCGCACGAGACTATAATCGGGTGCAGCACGTGCAGCTCGCAGCGCGGGTCGTCGATGAATAAATCCGTCAGCTGCGCGCAACGCGGCGCTAATTGCTCGACGCCCGCATGCATGCTGCCCGGGCCGATGCGCAGCTTGGTCCAGAACACCCGGCTGTAGCACAGCTTCCGCCACGTGGCGTTCACGCACGCATAGCGACACAGATCCCATGCTGTCGGTTGTCCCTCCTGCAGAATCTTCAACAGGAGATCCTCTCCCAGATCGCTCAACGACGGCCTGTTGGAAGTTTCTTCTGCCCCGGGTAGCGCATCCGTATCTTCCCGCGCCTTGAAGAAGTCTATCTGCTTGGGCGCGCTTTCTGCGGCAGCGGCGGCGGCGGGGGTGGCGGAGGGAACGAATGGGTTCGCGGACGGGGGCGCGAGCGCATTGGAGTCGAATGCGGCGTGAGTTGGGGGAAAGTTAAGGTTCTCGATTATCCTGCGTTTCTTGGATAGCGCGTCGGGGTGTGCGAGGTCGGAATCATTTGTGCGTTGCTCGCGACGAGTTGCCGCAGGGCCCAGCGCAAACAGCTCGGATAGACTGACACCCATGGCGAGAGAGATTGCACAATCCAATGGTTCACGAGTCGTGACGGGAAGGTGAAGTTGCCAGGCTGGGATTCTCAGAAGCAAATCTGCTACGATTTTTCTGGGTGAATACTGCTGAGGAACCACAGCTGGGCTGGCCTTTATGGAGTTGGAGTGACGGGGGGTCTTTGGGGGGATTTGTGAGCTCGAAAGAAAGGGGTGAGGGGCACAGCCGAAGCGCACGTGGTTCTAAATGGAGAGATTTGCTCCAAACCCTTGTTTGGTGATTCGGCGTTGCACACGTGGCCTCGAATTGCTCGCGTGGTTCTAAAATTGCACGATAATTGCTCGAGTGGTTTTGCCAGGGAATTCCAACTGACTTGTTTTTCCCAGGCACAATACCCAATTAGGGTATTTATCCCCTAATGTTAGAATTATTGGGCGATCACATAATTGTAAGCGACGTAAATGCGCGGTCATACATTGTGCCTCGCAAAAAACGCTCGGTCATATAGGGTGTGCCCGGGCGAAACAATATATGATCGCGCACCCATCTGTTCGCGAGTGATTGGTCGCGCGATGGCTCTATATGACCGCGCATTTACATATATATCCCTACACATGACCCAAAAAACTAAACCCAATCGGAAAGGGATGCGACTCAGGGAGGCATCAACCCTAAAAACATTGCTCTTTCCCGTGTTTAGGGTTGATCCCTCCCGAAAATGCGTCCAGGTCCCTATGGGTTTTATTATTTCTCATACGCGGAACAAGACTCGTGCAACGCAAAAAGTTTGGGAATAAATACCCTTGTAGGGTAATGTACCGGGTTAAAAAAAGCTGCGGGGATTTTCTGGCAAGACCACTCGAGCAATTATCGTGCAATTTCAGGACTACGCGAGCAATTCGAGGCTACGTGTGCAATGTCGAATCACCAAACAAGGGTTTGTTTTTTTTTTTTTTTTTTTTTTTTAAGGATGCATTACACTTATACAAGCGGTTACATCCACAGTCGTAACTGGAGGGGGGAAGGGACCGGGAGGACAAGAAGTCAACACTGCCCTTCCACTAGCGCTTTAAGGTGGTTGGAAGGCTGTTCTCGGGTTGGACCACACCGATCTAAAGCCATCCTTCCACGTCAGCGTGTCTTCATCTTGAAAGATCCGGCTCAGCACTACAGCCTCGTCCCGCTCCAAATAGGCCCAGCTCTGCCCGCCTCCTTGCTTGCTGATGTTTGCCACGTGTTGTTTGTGGGCACTGTATATCCTGACATGTTTCATGAAGTTCACACCAATCCTCCGAAGCACCCTCAAAGGCTGAAACGTGTCTTGTCGGAAAGCTGCCTCGCATCTCTCCAGCCACACCTGGTGAAATGCCACTGCTATCAACGGCTTTTCCGGAAAGCCCGACTTCGTGCCATCTTCCGCGAACAGGAAGTATTCCAACCTCCCCACCTCCTGGTTTGGATTCATCTGCTTCAACGCCCCCTTTAGCGCGCCGATGACAGGCTGTAACACTTCACATTCAAGCAGACAATGCGCAAGGGTTTCGTCCTTCTTGCAGTGCGGGCAGCTAATGTGCTCTGTCATGAAGTGCAGTCTGTCTCCCACCTGGAGGTTTTTGCAGTGTAGCCTCAAGATAATTTCCCTTGCTCTGCCCGGCGTGACCAAAGTGTCCCGTTTTCGTATGGCACCTTTCCAGTAAATTGATCTCCCATACTCCTCCTCCCACTTCCTCTGCTGCTTCGGCTGCTCAACTGGTCCCTTCAGTTCTGCTCGCAGCTGCCTTAGTGATGCGCTTTGCCCTTTCTCACAGAGCATCGACAGCCTCAGACGGGAAAGCGGGAGGCCCGCTTCTCCCACCAGTCTGCCCTCCTCAACAATCAGCGGGGTCAGTCTGTATAGTTCGAGTCGAATCGGGCTGGATCTGTTCGTTAGCAGCACTTCTCCGTTCTTTCCCACCTCCGCAGGCGTTCCGAGGATTCCGCGACCATCTGTTGACAGCAGCTGCCAATACATAATCCTCCCTGCCAGGGACCGCGTGCTGGCCAGCTGCGTCAGCTTCATAACCTCTTCTCCAGTCAGTTGCGACAGGAGTACCGTTTTCCAGTCCTCCGGTGCTGCTTTCCATGCTTTTAAGGCCCACCGCGCTGTTGTCGAGCTGCCTGTTTCTCGTGTCAGAGTCCACATGCCCTTGAGTTTGCGCGTCCCGTCCCATTCTGTTTGTAACAGATCTCCCAGCTTCATCTCCCGCAGACATTCCGAACCCTTCTGCCGGCTGAAGGGGCTCTTGCCTCTGTAGAAGATATATCTGCTGAAGCAGAGCCTCTCGTTCGCGTACTCCCAGCGGTTTGCCGGTGCCGGGAGCTTGGACTGCAAGGTCTGCCAGAAGGTAATCACTGTTCTCCGCCATTTCTCGCTCCCTTTTATCCACAACCGTAGAACTGCTCTGTGCGCCAAGAGCGTCGCCCATCCGAACGGCATGCAGGCCGCTTTTTCCATCAGCCACACTTTCATCGGGTTCCTCTACAGGATCGCTGTGCCCAGGTTTTTGAGTGCCATACAATCCACTCGCTTTGTCGGATCAATGACCCCTAGACCTCCCTCCTTCCTTTCTTTGTACGCCAGGTCTCCGCTCCATAAGACGAAGTGACGGTCAGCCGACGCTTTGCCGCTGGATGTGAAATTGTGACTGGTGGTGCGGAATTCCTTCCACGTCTCTTTCGGGGGTGGATAAACCTGCGCCTGGAAGAGGAGGATGGGCGCAGCATACGTGTTGAGCACCGTGACCCTCACCGACGTATTCACATGCTGGTTCTGCCACGCGATCAACACCTCCCCCGCGCGGTCTGCCGCCTTTTCCCACGAAGGCCCCGGGTCACCTCCTGGAGTGATCCAGATCCCCAGCAGCCTCTGTGGTTCATCCTTGCCTGCCCAGGTGTATGGCGAGTCCACGGGCGGCGGCAGGGCTCTGTTCTTGCCGAGCGGTACCACCACTGTTTTACCACGATTGACCTTAAGTCCCGATCTCCCCCCAAACTCCTCCAGGATCTCACATGCTCTCCCAATCTGCTCCTTCCGGTTCAATACCAATGTAGTGTCATCCGCATATCCCAAGTATCCAATTTCTCCAATTCCTCTTTTCCAACGAATGCTCGGCAATGGTTTGGAGCAATTCTCTCGAAAAAATGCCCGGCTCGCGAAGGTGACTGACTAGGGGGAGGGATGGACGGGTAAGTCCATGGTGACACTGTTGCTAGCGAATGGATGTGTGGGTGGGGCCCTGGAAGTCGCCCGGCCAATCACTGTCTTTTCCTCTCGGGGCTTGCCCCCCCGACCACACCGAGAGGTTGATGAGGGAAATGTAGGTAGGGCGATGGTTTGGCTGGTGGGACGTCTGTAGAAAGGGCTTGATACCGTACCGAACCATACCTAGTTTTATCCAAACCGAACCTACATGGGCGTCGTCTCATCCGACCACACACCGAGGCTGCCTGCCACCCACACCTAGCGCCTCAGACGCGCTTGATGGAGCGGCTTCACGTGCACCCGTCCACGTTCCATACGGTTGCTACAGTGCAGATGTCACTCTAGGGACTGAGGATGTTGTCCATGCAACAAAAAGACAAGAAAGTATGATGCACTTCAATCCCAGTGGGTGACAGTTGACGGACTGGGCAGTTACACCTGATGCATATTTCATTCTCGTTGCCCATCTTTCCCTGTGCTCCTCTCTCGAGCACACGCTCCCCATGGGGAGAATGGGACTGTATTTGGGTAGCCTAGCGTGTCTTTTCTGTGAAACTCGAATAACTTATTCGAGGCAAAGAGTAACTTGCTTTTGTCGTGGGCTTGTAACGGTCGGGCCGTTGGCTGGGAATGTCGACCACTGGGCGTATGGAGCAGCAGTGGCATTGTTCAGAATGGGCGTTTGGTTGAGCATTAGGGTGTACACGGCTGCGTATGTGGTCGGACGCGTCAAGCTTATCAATGCTGTTTTGTCGTAAATACGATGTTCATGGACCACCAGTATTAATTGTTTTCCCCGATCATTCTTGAGTGTAGGAGATAAGTGTGCGCATTCCTACCTACCCAGCATCAGCACATCTCACCCGTTCACACTCCCTACGGCATCAATAATAATACACTTCGTACTAAAATTGGTATAGTCAGGTTCTGTGAAAAAATACACTTGCCTTTTTGCTTCCGATGACGAGAAACTGTTGAGGTCGACTTCGGTCATTATAGTTGTTCGGTAGGATTACGATTCTGAAAATTTTGCACTCGGTTTTGACTGCGTATCCCAGCAAATAAGACGTTGGTAAGGAACAAACGGTTTGATGGTTGATTGTGTTCACCCTTTAAAATAAAAAAAAGGGAAGCAAAAGGCAGACACATACATGTATCTACAATCGACAGTGTTACACCCTTTTTCTCGCCAGACTAACAATGGGAAGAACTGGCTACAGTGCGTACTGTTGCTTAGATCCTAGCGATCTGGTGCTTGCAACCGAACCCCACGTAGGTGGCGGGCAAATGCATTCCATTAGAACGGTACACAAAGGTATATAAAATAAAACTCGTCTTGGAGTACGGTTGAGTGCGGGAAGATGTGCATATATGGTATGTTCTGGGATCATTCTGAACGCATTGATGTCAGTACAGCCGGTCCGTCAAAATGGCCGACAACAGTGTGGCGAGAAAGAGGGTGTATAGTGTAGAAGTCCGGGAAAAGTGTTGAAGAATGAAACTCGAGCGAAACTTCTGCTTGGATGTTTTCGTGTCTGTCATGTGAGCCTCATAATTGGCTTGTACAGCTGGCGTAGTCTTGGAAGGTGAGCGCAAGGACGCTCTTGTCGATTTCTAGTGTATGAAAACACGACGACTCACGTTGCGACACCCATGGGGCAGCTTTCGGACATCTTCAATGATTCATAACACAGTTGCCACGTGCTCTGCTTTGCCACGTGCTCTGACACAGTAGAAGAAAAGACAGAAACTTGTGCCCCTCTGAAAATAGCCGGTGAGAGAAAAAAATATGCGAGTGTGCAATTTCATTTCATGTGGTCCATGTACTTCTAATAAAACAACTGGATAAGTTGGCTTGTATATTATGCTAAGAATATCGGGAGCCAGTTTGTATTGTGAAACAATTTCTCAGGTGTATTGGCCTGTCCCAATTCCAGTAACTATCTGCGTGCTTTCGGTGGAACTTTCTCTCAGTGCTGTGCCCCACATTTTCACCACTTGTCTGTGTTGATGTGATGAACGGCGTGGGCTGCAGCGTGCACTGTGGCGCCGAACCTCTACGGAGGCGTTGCTTGGCATCATCTCGTCGTAGGTGAACAGCACAACGCAGTACCTTCTATTCAAGGCAGAAAAATCAACTGGACTGCGGTGGCTGTTTCTGGGAGAGAACAATACAAACAAACAAACATATCCGCCCTTTGTTTTATCCAAAACCCCCAACGTTCTGACAAAAAACTAACGTTCTGTTTCTTGTAGCTATCCGTTCTGTTGTAAGATACTTGTACTGTACATTGTACACGAGAATCTACAGTCGAATCGTCCCTCCCAAATACTTGAACGAACATTTTCTCTTTGAGTGGTAACAGCAAATCCCCACTTCCCCACCTCATTCAACTCTTAGAATGCATTGCTCCCTGTTCATGGTTAATTTCTAAATTTGTTGGTAGCGTATATTATTATACCAACAGGCTCCATCCCCTCACCCTCACACCTCATATTTTCCCTGAACAATGCGTCCAGTCATCCTCTCTCGTGCTCTGCGCCCTGCTTGACGCCCCTACTCCGCAGGCTGAATGCCGTCCTCTCGTCCTGCCGATATGGCCCTTCGCACGGATAGCCCCTGACGCCGATCTCGTTCCACTCGCGCCCGCGCATATCGACCAATAAAGCATGGGTGCACGCGCGCGCCAAAATGCATCCAATGCATGTGGGCGACTCGCTCCGCTCGAGCCACTCCGCGTTGCTCAGATCCCCGCGACCTCCGCCACCCCCGCGCCTTCCGCCACCCCCTCGACTTCCGGCACTTCCGCGCCTTCCGCGGGTTTTTGGGACTCCCGCGCTTCCCCTCCTTGCAGCACATAGCGCGGCGGAGATTCATTGACAATGCGCTCCTCCCAAGGCTCTCCTCCCGTCCTTGAGGGGACGAGGCGTCAGGTTGGGGAAAACAGGTGCTGGGGGGATGTGTCGCAATAAAAACAGGATTTGTGGGCAACCGACGTCCATCAGCAGATGTGCCCCTCCGGCGGTGTGCGAGGCACATGGATGGAAATCCCCAAGGTGAATGGGTGAGAGAGAAGGGATAGGGATTGAATCCCCTAACGCCGTGGGTGAGTGGGAGGAGAGAGGGATGGGGCTGAATCCTGTGGGTGAGTGGGAGAAAGGGATGGGGGCTGAAATTTCTAAGGTGGGTTTGTGATTGGGGAAGGGGAATGGGTGTTGAAACTCTTAAGATGGGAAGAGAGGGAGAGAGGGATGGGGGCTGAAAGCCCTAGGATGGGTGAGTGGAGAGAGGGGTGGGTTGATTCCTCTAAAGTGGATGAGTGGGAGGACAGAGGGATCGGTGCTGAATGCCATACGGTGGGAGAGTGCAGAGAGGGGCGGGGGCTGAAATCCCTAAGTGTGTGGGTGAGTGGGGAAGGGGAAGGGGGGCTTAAACTCTCAAGATGGGTAGAGAGGGCGAGAGGGATGGTGGCTGATCCCTTAGGGTGGGTGAGTGGACAGGAGAGGTGTGACAGTGGTGTGGGCGTTTGAAATCATGCCGTTCATGCGGCAGCGTGACACGGTGTGTGTAATACGGTATCACGAGTTAACCAATGTAGGGGTGTAGTACTGAAAACTTCACAACATTAATGTTACCATCTAAAGCAAACGTTTGCTATGCCCACCACAGCCAGCTCATTCGAAACATGCTACTGTCTCTTACAACGCACTTCATTTAAGTTCCAATTCACTAACAGTTCAGTTCAGTTCAGTTGGCATTCTTGTTCTTGGCTTCCTTAGCAGCAGCAGCAGCCTCAACGTCAAGCTTGCAGGCCTGCACGTGCCAGATGTCCTTGGCATACTCGGCAATCGTGCGATCACTGCTGAACTTGCTCATGCCTGCTGTGCTCAGAATGCTCATCTTCTCCCACTGCCCCTTGTTCCTCCACGTCTCGTCCACCTTAGCCTGGCATGGGTCGTGCAGGGAGAGCATCAAAGAGAGATATGAGCAAGGAGATTAGAGAGCCCAGGCTGCTGAACTTGCTCATGCCTGCTGTGCTCAGAATGCTCATCCTAATCCACCATGTCGCATCCACCTTGGCCTATGTGGGAGGTGTGCAAATTGGGATTGAAGGGTGAAGGCAAGGGGGAGTCTGCAGTGGATGCGCTGGGAGCTCAACTCCAGCTCAGATTACAAGCACTGTCACAGATGGAAAGCAGTCAGACTAGGGGATCCTGAGTCAACCTGGCAAATGGAGGCCTCACAGCAGTTCTGTGAAAGTGGGAGATTGGAGCAAGCCTGAGTGGAGAAAAACGCACCTGAAGCTTTGCGTTCTGCGTTTGAACGCAAAACGCTGAACGCACAGAAAAACGCAGAACGCATGGGGATTTTTTTTCCGGTCAGCCCGAATGTCATTTTCGCCAAAAATCTACCCCTTTCAACCCAAATCGACCCCTGAAAACCAGCCCTCCAACCGAAATTCCCAACCCCCCACTAATATGATGGGAAAGAATATTATGTGGGGGAAAGCAATTGCTCAAATCTGTGCTATATCCATCCCCCCTCCTCCCGATGCCCTATTGGAAGTTCTTTTTGCCTGCCCGGTAGTTATTTTACCCTGCCCGGCCATGCGTTTTTGTAGCGTTTTCAGGACCCCCAAAAAAGTGTTCTGCGTTTTAAACGCAGCGTTCAAACGCCAGCGTTTAAAACGCTGAACGCGTTTTTCTCCACTCAGGAGCAAGCAAGGAGGGTGTACCTGGGCCTGGAGGGAAGTGGTTGGCGAGCAGGTACTGCAAAGGAGAGTGCCCGGCCCTTTTTTTTAGGTGGGGCATCCTAGTTCTATTCCAGTGTGTGGGGCATACTAGTCCTCAGCCAGAGAGTTGGGAGCACCTGGGTCTGGAGGTAACTTTCGATGCGCCCCAAAGTCGTACCTGGGCCTGGAGGTAACTTTCGATGCGCCTTAAAGTCGTACCTGGGCCTGGAGGTAACTTTCGATGCGCCTTAAAGTCGTACCTGGGCCTGGAGGTAACTTTCGATGCGCCTCAAAGTCGTACCTGGGCCTGGAGGTAACTTTCGATGCGCCTCAAAGTCGTACCTGGGCCTGGAGGTAACTTTCGATGCGCCTCAAAGTCGTACCTGGGCCTGGAGGTAGGAGGGGAAGTCGTTGGCGAGGAGGTAGAAGTCACCACCCATGGGGCCGTCCAGGGACTGCACGAGCGGGGCGAAGTAGTCCACCCACCCAAACTGGCCGTTGCGGATCATGCTGTGGGGAACAGAGCAGGACAGAGAAGGTGAGGGAGAGAAGGGATTGGGTTGGTGGATGAGGCAGAAATTCCTGTCCTATTTGACATTTGAATAATTTACTGATTGGTTCGGCTGGAAGCAGTGTGTGGTTGGAGTACTGGTGGGTGAGACATGGCAGAGAATCGAACAGCTGGGAGGTGTGAGGCTTGTGCAATGGCATGGTAGGCCTTTCAATCACTTTCCCTGAGATTCATCTGCCTTGTCTGAATGAGCTAGTAGGGCTTACTTGACAGCGTTGGTAAAGCGACCGTCTGGGTTGTAGCCTGGCCGCTCGCGGCGCAGGCGCGAAACCTCGTGCTCTCGCACTCCAAAGATGAACTGATGGCATGGGAGAGCGGAGTGGTGAGGGGAGAGTCATAAAAGAAAACAATGGGGACGACGTTTGGTGAGGAAAGTGAAGAAAGCGTGCAATCAGCCGCAAGCTTGAAATGCAACCCACCACCTCCCAACTTGCCATCTTCCCCAACCAACCATCAACCCCCAACCGCCAACTGCCACCAACAGCTCACCTTAACCGCAACCCAGCCTCCCCAGCCCACCACCGTTTTCAACACATTCATATAACCCCCCTGTACGCACCATGTTCTCCTCGCCGATCTCCTCCGCAATCTCCACGTTAGCACCATCCATGGTGCCAATGATAAGCCCCCCGTTCATGGCAAACTTCATGTTGGACGTGCCACTCGCCTCCGTGCCCGCCGTGCTGTGAGGGGTGAGGGACGAGCGCAGGGGGGAGCGGGAGGGGGGGCAACACAGCACGAACAGCAAAAGAGTATGCATGTCATTCTCAAGAGGTTGAAATGAGAGAAGAGGAGGGAGGATACGAGATGGGATGGGATGGGGGGACAGGAGGGCAAGACACGAGGTACGGGCACTTTATACCCCGGGTTTGTAAGGGTTCTACATACCTATCTGTTAGGCAAGATAATAGGCAGAGAGCCCACCTGAAGTGAGCATACCTGATGTGCTGCGAGAGGTCGCTGGCGGGGATGATGATCTCAGCGAGCGAGACGTTGTAGTCGGGCAGGAAGACGAGCTTGAGCAGGTCGCCCACAGCGGGGTCGTTGTTGACCTTCTCCCCCACGGCGCTGATGAGCTTGATGATGCGCTTCGCCATCTCGTACCCCGGCGCTGCCTTGCCGCCCAGCAGCACCACTCGCGGCACCACCCGGCACTTGTCCTCCGATGACATGCGCTGGGAACGGCAGGGGGTGGGGGTGAGGGGTGATACAAAGGGTGGGAATGGAGCGATTATGAATCGACTAAAAATTGTCATGCACAGGGGATGGCAGGGGAGAGAGTGAGAGATGATTGTGGGAGAGAGGGCGGGTGGGAAGGGAGCGGGGAAGACGGGTGGGAGAAGGGTGGGGACGGGGAGGGAAAGCAGAGACAAGCCGTGAAAAGGTGAGCATTGTGTTGTCAGAAAGTATTACAGTTAAGAAGAGGTACATGGTTTGGTCTTTCTGCATGACAAAGGCCTTATTTGTTCTGCAGTGAACCCGAAGAAGGACATAATCTGCTCTGTCTGCATTAAATCCTTGGTTTTCATTACAATGGGACGTACCTTGATCTCTTCGTAGCGGTGGATGACAGATAGCACGTTGAGCAGCTGCCTCTTGTACTCGTGGATGCGCTTCACTTGAATGTCAAACAGCGCCTCCGTGCTCACCTGCTCACATTGCCACCCGCCATGCCATGCCATCCCATCCCATCCCATCCCATCCCATCCTATCCCATCCCACCCCAAGCCATGCCATGCCATCCCACGCCATCCCATGTCATGCCAACATGCCACACAATGTAAGATATGTCGTCCATGTAAGACACACAACGCATCACATCACCACAACATGTGACACAACGCAGACCCTGAGGATACCATGATTTTTTTCGTCGATATGATGAAAGCAGCTGGACGGAAGTATTTTGACAACAGAGAGAAGCCAACATGCAAGAGGAGAAAAGGCGCAAGAGCAGCAGCAGCGACAGCAGCACGCACCTTGACACCAGTGAGCTTGAGAATGACATCTGCGAGCTTCTGCTTGTTCTGCTGCTTCACCTGCAGATGACGGTACACAAGAAAAGACATCCAGGCAGAAAGCGCGTAGAGGGGGAGGGGAGTTGTTGCGTGAGGGAGTTAGCGCGTGACCCTTGTGCATGTAACGATCTCTGGCATGCATATAACACACCATATCAAATTGCATCTCAGCTCAACGAACCACCACAGCACAACAGGGACACGTGCAGCGCAGATTGGCATTGTGGAAAGATCGAACTGTTCACAGCAGAACAATCGAGGCTCTGTGCCAATCTGCACGTAAAGACTAAACTGTTTGCCTAAAGTCCAATCGCACCTCTCTCCAGCGCTTCTGGAAGGCAGCGTCTTCCGCCTTGCCCCTGAGCGCCCTGATCTTCTCCAGGTCCGACACCCAGTCGTCCGATCCCACCACCTCGTCCGCCAAATCGCGCAGCCCCGGGTTGCAGAACGCCAGCCAGCGCCGCTGCGGGGGAAGGAGTGGGGGGAAGGTAGGGTTTAGGGTTGATTGAGAGGGGCGAGCGGTTTAGGTTGTTGACGCGAAAGGGGGTGGGGAGCAGAGCGCCAGCTAGGGACGATGCAAGGGTGCACGAGTAGGTTTGGGGTCGAGTAGATAGGGGTGAGCTAGGCAGGCAGCCTGTGTCGCTGCACATGATGAGGGGCTACATAGGCCAGCGGAGGAGACAGGATGGATGGACGTAGTACATCATTGGCAGGGTGGTATGGATCCAACGGGAAGAGTTGCCACGAGGCATTCACAAGGAAAAAATTAACACGAGAATACAGCAACTGACCTGGGTGACTCCATTTGTCTTATTCTGGAACTTCTGGGGCCAGAGCTCATAGAATTCCTGCAGGACGAGTAGTAAGGGACAGAGCAGAGGAAAAGGCATGTGAACGAGCAGGGGACGGAGCAGGGGAAAGAGCACGGAAACAAGCAGGGGGCGGAGCAGGGGAGAAGGCATGGAACCGAGCAGGGGACGGGAGCAGGGGAAAGAGCAGAGAAAAGACGACAAGATAGCATGCAATCTCTTGTGACACAGAAACACTGAGAATCCGTCACAGAGGAGAAAGGTTTTGACAACAGGGCGAGGAAAGGGTTGACGATTTGAACAGCGAACCATGTGCTGGTTTAGACGGGTGTGTTGGTACCTTGAAGATGGTTTGCTTGATGAGCTCCGAGTGAATGGCCGCCACGCCGTTGACAGACTGTGACGCCACGATCGCCAGATTCGCCATGCGCACGTTCTGCCATTCGTACGGCGAGGGAGGGATAGTCACTCACTGCATTCCCATCTAACGCATTTATGGCGAACGTCTCGCTACCACCAGGAAGTGTTTTTGAGCACCTTTGAAATGAACTTTCTGCGAATGTTCCACGCCTCTCCCAGCCTTGCCCCTCAACTCTCGCCTGACACACCTGTATCACACCTCGGATTCCTCACTCCCAACCGCGTCACACACCTTGACATCGCCCTCCTCGATGATGGACATGCGAGACGAGCGCGAGAAGTCGTCGCCAAAGCGCGACTTCACCTTTTGCATGAACTCGAAGTTGATCTGGTAGATAATCTGCGCAACCACCACACGGCCAAAGCGCACAATGAAGGGCCGAGTCAGGAGATCCAAAAAAACGCGGAGCGTTTTAGAACACGACCGTTTCCAGCGCACACATCGTTTCAGCGGGAGTGAGAAATGCAGAGAAATACGCATCGCAACATCGAGGCACCCAGACACCTCTCCACGAAGAATCCAGTGAGAAGCCGCCCCCCAACCCTCCTGCCCCACTCACCTGCATGTGGCGGGGCAGCAGGCTCTCCATGAGGCTGACGGGCCACTTCTCGAGGGCTTCGGGCAGCACGGTGTGGTTGGTGAAGGCGAAGACCTTCTGCGTGATCTGCCACGACAGCGTCCACCCCAACCCCTCCTCGTCCATCAGCAGCCGCATCAGCTCCGCCACGCTGATCGTCGGATGCGTGTCGTTCAGCTGCATCGCCGCCTGGTTAAGGCACGCATAACGTTGGGAGAATTGGTGGTGCGGGAAGGGGGGGAGTGGAGTGGTGTGGGAAGGGGGGGAGCGGGGAAGAGGGGGGAACGGGAGAGGGACGCGGGGAGAGAGGGCGGGGAAGGGGGGGGAAGAGCAGGAGAGTAGCGGTTAGCAGCGGGGAAGGTTCACCACGACAAGCTGCGGACTGAAAATTCGCGCAAGTGACCGCGCCGCGTGACGAGATTAAAAAAAAAAAAGGAAAGCCACAAATGACGTGAGAAAGCAGGCCGACATGGACGAACCTTCTCGGGGAGCTTGGTGAAGTCGGTTTCGGTACGCTTGAAGCGGCGGATGATGTCCTGCAGCGAGGCGGACACCATGAAGAACTGCTGCTTCAGCCGCAGCTCCTTGCCCTGCGGCTTGCGATCGTCGGGGTACAGCACGCTGCTGATGGACTCCGCGCGCTGCCTGCAGGGGCGAGCGTTGGTTAGGTGCGTCAGGACAGCAACAAGATTTTAAAAGCGGGCATGGAACGGAGAAAGAAAGGGGGTGGAAACGAATGAAGGAACGAGGATCAAAAGAGGAAGGAAAGAAGGGGGTGGGGGGGGAGGGAGGGGGGGATATGGAGATAATATCTCATGAACAAGCTGCGCATGATGCAGGAGAGGAGGCATACTTGGAGAGAATGGCAGCGACATAGTCGCCGGTGTTGAAGGACTGCAGATCGAACTCCGTGGAGGGCTTGCCGGCCCACAGGCGCAGGTTGATTGTGTTGTTGGTGCCGTAGCCGGGCACTGGGTTGTCGTACGCCACAGCTTGGACCTACAACCACGATCAGAGAGGGGATGTGAAACATGGCCGAAGATGCTTGAATGTGCGTGCTCCAGACACTGAGATGTGGTTTTTTGAAAGCGCTGGCGAAACATAAGAGTAAACGATGAGGAATTGGAGGCTGTACCTGCTCCCCGGGAACCCAGTTGAAGCGCTGGTAGCCCCTGCTGTCCGTGTACTGCTCCACGTGGCCGTAGAACTGCCCACCACGAAATGAAAGGGTGCAAGCACGCGATTTATGGAATGCGACGCGTTGGTGATAATTTTTATGGCAGATGAGCCCAGCCAGCAGCTAATCTCGTGCTTCAATATATCATTGCTTCAGCCCAATAATGGAACCAATTTCGAGCCAGCTTAGTGACTGGTTTCCCATGAGCTGTTGTTCCTTTGTGTTTCTCGTTGCATTGTTCAACTTCGCTCTTGCTCGCAGTCTCGGCTCAAGCTCACCTTCACAGTGTATGAAATGTTAGTCCGCTCAATCTCCCTGCACAACACACAACGCATACGCAACACCAAAAGGGTTAATTGAGATTCGCGAAGTCGTGACAGCGACGGACAAATCGGTAGCTCGGATGTGATCTTCGGATAGAAACTTGGTCCGTGAAACGACGCTGGGCGTACCAAGGATTGCCGAAGGTGAGCCAGTAGTCGGGCTGCTCGTGCTGGAACCCATTTTCAAGGGTCTGACGGAACATGCCGTACTGGTAGCGAATGCCGTACCTGCACAATCCAGATCACACCAATGTTACCTCCGGACATCCTGCCGACATTGCTAAAACCAACGTGTGAAAAACGTCAGCAACTGCACTGAAAGAGAAGACTTCTAAGTTTTCGTCAGAGAGATCAGAGGCGTACCCCCATCCGGGTAGGTCGAGGGTGGCGATGCTGTCAAGGAAGCAGGCTGCGAGCCTGCAAACCAACGCGGGAGAGGAGCGTGAGAGAGCCGCGTGACTAAACTCTTGCACGAAAGCAATCCGCTTGCGTACGAATAGCGCAGAATCATTATGCTGAGCTATATCGGCAGCTCATTACCTTCCAAGACCACCGTTGCCGAGTGCAGCATCACGCTCCTGCTCCACAATATCTTCCAGCTTGTACCCAAGCTGCGCATTGGAACACCAACATGTCATAGCAAACTTCAATCTCTTGAAAAAAGCCACAAACTAGATGCTGGCATGTGAATTTCAAGATTACAATACCTGTGAGAGAGCCTGAGCGTAGACATCATGTAGGTTGAGATTGTAGAGGCTGTTAAGCAGCGACCGACCTGTACAAAGAAAGGATGACGAACGAAAGTCAGTGGAGCTCGCGATCCGGTTATTACTGTTACTCATTATAACTATCGTTGACTGCGCGTACCCATGAGAAATTCCATGGAAAGGTAGTAGACGCGCTTGGGGTCAGCCGCACGGAAGTGCTCGTTGGTGTCATTCCAGCTCTCGATCAGACGATCCCTCACGCTGTGAGCCACTGCTTGGTAGCACTCATACGAATCGAAACTGCCAGAAAGAAAAACAGAAGGAAAACAAATGAGCCGAGCACATCAGGTCGCTGCATTCTCTAGAAAGCCTGCTGAATGCGACAAGAGGTGCTCCTGCTGCTGCAGCTGGTTCAAGATGCTGCCTCTTGAAGCCGCGGTTTTCACGTACTGGTGACGATCACGGGCGAGAGTGTATTCGACGTGGTTCACGATGCTCTCCTGAATGGAAAGCACGTCGTTGCTCAGATACACGTCTTTGAGCCGCTTGCGGAGGTCCACTACGGGACTCTCAACCTGCACCGCAGAGGGACGCACAGCTGGCGGAGACGCCACGGGGACAGCCAAAACCTCGAGAGCCTTCCTCAGAACCTGTTTGGACATGAGGGAAGTGATGGAGATTGTAACGGATATAACGCTGTTGGGATTCCCAATGTTAAAATATCTGGACGTGTTAGGCAAGCATGCTTGAATAAGGTCAGCAGTTGAAACAATGTCTGAGAATGATGAATCTTTCTTTCTCACATCGAGTTCAGCCGGATCTTCGATCTTGTTACCAGCAGCGTTCTGGACGTAGAAGGTATCCAGAACTGCATCATCAGCAGTACCCACCAGAGCCCTCACCACCTGGACGTTCAAATCCCTGCAAAAACACCACGCGTTAGATCCTTCCCGGTCGGCGAATGACGAAGTTATGAGAGCACTTCACATTCACATACCTGAAGACTGAGGTGACACGATTCAACAATCCGGGCTGGTTCAGAGCAGAAAGCTTGACAATGGTCCATTGAGGCTCGGAGTTGTCAATCTCAATAATAACGGACGCTGTTCCGGCAGCGGGAATCCCGTCAGCGACAGTTGCAGTCACTTTCAGGGATTTCCGAGCATTGGATGCTCCAGCCGAAACGGAAGAAACAGAGACGCGGTTTCCAAGAAACGGGCTCTTCTTTGGGATAGCAACGCTAGAAACTGCTCCGTTCTGCTTCGTCTGGGCTGCAACCGATCCGGCAACGGCTGCTACTTGAGGTACGCGGGTGGAATTCGCAATGGCTTCCATCTCGGCGAAGCACGTGAGAGCAACGAATACTGGTCCGGACTTACACAAGAGCTAAGGGGGAATTATCCACGCGCTTCTAACTCAGTACAAAGAGACCAATGGATGAATGCCAGACGCAAGCAGGACCTGAACAGGAATCAGGATTCAGTAGCTCCTGATTTGGAGCAGTTGAGAAGAGGAGCAACAACCAAGGCAGATTTGAAAATGGGGTGAGATGGGACGGTAGGAATGGTATGAAATCACAGGATCCTGGAATGGGACTTCCTCATGCGTTGCATGTAACCTTGAGATTTGTTTTCGCGAGTTCGGTTGAAAGGGATGCGGGGGCGTTCCGGGAAATTGAGTGAAAGCTGTTCTCGAGGGGTAACTGCTTTGACCAATGCGAGCTCGAGCGTAAATAACGGTGTAAATGAACAGCGATATAAAGCAATCACGCCTCGCCGCGTCAGCTGCCACATCTCTTGATATTTTGCGCTTCAGCCTCTAGCCTTCTCCATTTTCCATATAAATGGGGGAATCGCCATCTTGCCTGGGGAAATGCGCGCCGAATCTGGGTTACGGCGTGCCAGAGTGTGCAACAGCGAAATGCCTCGATTCGAGCATTGCTTATGGCGAGGGAAGTGTGTGAGATGACCTGGAAGGGGCTGGGCACGTGCGCCGTGCTGTTGATGGTGTGATGATATTGACAGAAGCTTATATAAAGTCCATGGATCAAACCATTATGGCCATCTGTACATCTACGAAGCTTCTGCTATACAAATGCAAATACTGCAAGCATCATTTGAACATGAATCAGTTGTCAATCCAGCCACATATTCACACCTTTCTTATCTACCGATAGCTCAAGAAAAGCTACAGCTACATGACGTAAAGTGATTTTTCACCCTAAACTTCAACACGCAACCAAAATTTGTTGCACAAGCTCGGCATTTCTACGAATGCTCAATGTTGTGCCATGCGGCATATCAATATTAAAGGCCCCTTCCTCACCACACCTCACACGAAAATGAGCAGCCACCCTTTTGCAACACCCGCACCATGCCGACCCAATACTTGCATCTACTCTTCTGCAAGTAACGTGCCATGCCATACCAATCCCCATACAATGCACCACTCACGCACTTGCTCCCGTTCCACTGGGCCCAGACATACCCGCTGCACCCATCCCCCCACCCATTCCCCCACCCGCTGCTGCCCCATCCCCTGCAGCAGCAGCACCATGCCACCCCAACGCCCACATCCCTGCCGCTGCTGCAGCCGCAGCCGCTGCCGCTGCTGCTTCATGCCCCGCCATTGTTGCCGGCGCCCCCGCCACCGTTCCCCCTACCCCTGTCGCCCCTCCTGCTGCTGACGTGGCACCTGACACGTCAGCTGCTCCCGCCCCTCTCATCCGCTTCTGCAGATGCTCCAGGCTCGAAACGCGCTGCAGACTGCCGGATCGTTCTATCTTTCCGCCGGCGCTTCCAGTCGGCTCTGCAGGAGAGCCACCGGCGCCCCCCCCTCCTGCTCCCGCCCCTGCTCCCCCCCCTGCTCCTCCTCCGTTGCTCCCCTCTCTCACTCCTGCTGCTGGCGACCCTCCTCCTCCCCCCCCTCCTCCTACACCCCCCCCTGCTGCTGTCGCACCAGGTACTAATCCCCCTCCTCCTCCTGCTGATGCTGCTGCGCCTGCAGCTGCCACAGAAGCGGCATAAGCAGCATGGGCAGCAGCAGCAGAGGACGAACCAGGTGCCCCCATGCCTCCCGAGCCATCACCTCCAGGTACGGCACCAGGCATGGACCCCACCATACCTGCCGGCACCATGCCTGCCTGCATCATACCATACGCGTTTGGGTCCATGCCTGGCGGTAACCCCAGGCCCGGCAGAAGGTTCGGGTGCATGGCAGATGCCGGCGGCCCATTGGCTTGGTGTGGATCGAGGGACAGAGCGGCCGCATGGGCGGCGTGAGAGGCATGAGAGGCCTGGGCGGCGTGGGCGGCTTGGGCAGCATGGGCATGGGCAGCATGAGAAGCCTGGGCGGCGTGGGCGGCAGCATGTGGAGGGAGGGGGTAAGGCGCCGGTGGGGGTTGGGATGCGCGGTGGGGCCGGGGATAGTAGGGAAGGTCTATGGGCGAAGGGTATGGCATGGCAGCAGCAGCGGCAGCGGCAGCGGCGGCGGAGGCTGCGTCGTGGCGGAACGCCATTGGCTGGTGATACATGTACTGTGCCATGTGGGCGACCCGTCCCACCATCTCCTCAGCCATTTTCACCTGAGATGAAGGAAGGAAGATTCACACACAGAGGCACAGGTAGGCGCATGCACACACATACACGCACGCACACCCACAGGCAAAGAGAGGATGTGATGCGTCATTTTTTTTCTCATTAGCCCAATCCACCCAACACTCCCAAACCCTAAACCAGCCCAACCGTAACCCCACATTTCGCGAGCCTAAACCTACCCGCCCTAAGCTACTCCTCTGCTTCGCCTCCGAACGTGACCCAAGCCACTCCCTACCTTACCTCCCTCCTCAACCTAATCCGCTCCTTACCTTGGCGCGCAGTGCCTCCACGTCGGATTTCAGCACGCGGTTGTCAACGGCCGCCTCGTTGTATTTCCGCCCAATCTCCCCCAGCCGGCTCGCCAGGCTCGCGTTTTCCGCCTGCAGCTGCTGCACGTGCCCCTCCAGGTCGCTCACGTGCGCCTGCTTGCGCCGCCGCGACCGCCGCGCCGACTCGCGGTTCGACAGCATGCGCTTCACCCGCTTAATCTCCTCCGGGTCCGTTAGGTGCTCTAGGGACGCCACTAACTCGTACTCGCCTTCGGACCGCGCGCCCTCGCCGTCAGATCGCGGCTCTTCGGATGCCTCGCGGGAGGAAAGCCCGCGCGCGGACCCTGCCCCTGCTGCTCCCCCACCTCCTCTTCCCCCGCTGGCTGCTCCCCCGGGTGCTGTAGCGCCTGTTGCGCCGTGGGTTGCGGGTCTGTGAGCGGGCGGATGGGCCTGAAAGCCACGACGAGGAGGGCTGGCTATGCCTGCTGTTCTTCTCCCCGCACCGCCGCCGCCGCTTGCGACTGCTGCCGCGCCGCCTGGGGCGAGAGCCATAGTGGGCGCCGCCGACGGCGGGGAGAAGCCTGATGCCGACCCCGCGCCACCGACAGTTGCCGAACCCCCCCCAGGAGCCGAGGCCGCTGAGCCGCCGCCGTCGCCGCCAGCTGCAGCACCCCCCTCTGTATCCGTCCGCGCCCCTGCTCCCGCCTCCCCCCCAGAGGCCCTCCCCAACCCGATGAGCCCAAGCCGCTGTTGTTCCCCGCTTGTGTCTCCGCCCGGCTTCCCCGCGCCATCACCGCTTCCTGCTCCCGCCCCCGCTCCTGCGCCCACTCCCGCCGCGCCTCCCGCGCCTTCCGCTCCGCCGTCTAAGCCGCGATAGTACGACGCGAGGTTGAGCTTCGAGGGACTGTCTCCTAGCAGCTTATCGAGACTCGAAACCTGGCTTAGACCCGGAATTAACGGGTTCATTCCAGGCGGACCCATACCGGACGTGCCAGCGGCGCCCCCGCCGCCAATTGCGGCGGCTCCTAATGCTCCCACTCCGGTTAAGCCCTGCTCCTTAACGAATTCGTGAAATGCCCATTCCGAGGAGCTGCGGTTCATACGGTGGAACGAGCCTGTACGCGGTATTGGCCGCTGTAGCTCGCTACCGCCACCACCCCCTCCGGTCACACCGGGCGGATGGCCGGGGAAGGGGACCCCGCCGGGGGGGAGCATAGAGGGAGGGGAGAACATTCCGCCGGTTGCTGCAGCAGCTGCGGCGGCGGAAGCCGCCGCAGCGGCATCGCCCGATGCGTCTACTTTCCAAAACGTGCCGAGAATATCGTCTACTGAGAATACACGCTCCATCTTTTATGTATGCTTCTGACAAAGCTAGTCCACGTGGTCCGCAAATTAACTACCGTACACCAGGTTCGGCAATTCTTTTTTAATTTGCTGAGATTCTAATGCGGTTACTTTAGAAAAAGTGCCCCAGACGGCGTTTATGTCGAGTTAATAAGACAATTTGAAAACGGCGGCTTGGGGGCTCGAGACAAAAAGGTAATAGGACTGGTTCTAGTGACGAGGCAAGTTCGAAAAAGGTCGAGCTTAGCTCAGCGGGAGGGTATGACAGCGGTGAGGGCAGGGGGGAGGGAGAGCAGGTGACGGAGCGTGTGCTGGTCTTGACTCATGCCAGCCACAACTCAAACCCAAAAGCAGCGCTTCCTCCTGAAGGTCGCGAAATTCCCCTTCGCGCTAGCGCACTTCAGCATTGGGCGCAACCGCACCTGGCGGAAGCGCAAGTATTCGAGGCGAGCGCGCATAGAAACAACCGATGAGCGGGGAGGAGTTTCTGTTTGCGGTGGCTTCTGAATCATCGCGACTTTCCGCGGATAGGCGGAAGGGAATTTCTGTTTGCGGTGGCCCTCTGGCCTTGATGTTAGAGCAGCTGGATGCGGTGCGGGTGGATGAGAAAAGTCGAGGCGTGAATGACGAACGCAAAAATGACGTGGAATTTCGTCTAACCAGCTATGATTCTGGCACAGCGAAAGGTATGGATAGCATCCCGCCACCCGTACTCAACTGACGCTGCCACGTGCCAAGTACGGTTGGGCTCACGACAGCGTGCCGCGAAAGCGAACTGCGGTAGCTGTGTCGTCAAACCAGCAGGTGCCTCAAAATTGGATGTAATTTGCGAAACGAGCTAGTTGAGGGTAACGCTCTCGCGAACCACGAATTTCGAGCCCAGGCTCGGCAGCAAGCTGAACCAGCGGAGTCACCACGAGGGCCGTCAGCGATGGCGTCAAATGATGTGGCGCTGGATAAGGTGAGTCCGTGGCAAAGTGCTAAAGCGACGCGACACACCAACCGAGCAAATCCCCAAGATCCCCGACTGATCTAGAAAGTCTTCTCAAATATTCAGGCTTCAGGCCGATCTGCTGGCGACTTTGGGAAGCCCCTCTCCTTAGTACATACCATCTCTAGAAACAGTTAAGGAAAGAAAACAGTAAAACATCTGTAGAATTTACATTCCGCACTTAATCACTGACTTAAAGCCAGGATCTCAAGTAAGAGAATTGGCCTTCAATTGCAAAACACTTGCAGCCCTTGTTACCCTATTTTTGTAGGCGAATTGACTGGCTGGTTAGGAAAGTGAGCGTGCGGTACACCCACGATTTTGCCCCTAGAGCAAATGCAAAACATTTTGCTGGTATATGAGATTGTTGTGTGTGACGAGAAATTGCAGGCATTGGAGCTTCGTCACCGAACCAGTTTCCGAGCCTTGCTTGGTTCGGACTGAATTTGCGATTTGGCTTTACTTCGCACCCCTCGCTTCACACCTCGTCAGATTGTTCACCTCGCTAACCAATCGCAGCCCAGCTCCCCTCACCAACTGCAAAACAATTGAAATACTTGAGATCCTGGCTTTAACCCCCACAATCATATTTACTCGATTGGCACAAACGCCACCACACCAATGCTCGGATGATTGTTGGAAACAGCACAGATTTTTGTACCAAACATATCACACAAGCACAAGTATTCGGGTGAAAGATGCTTTGAAGAACACTACAGTAACCAAACCAAACCAAGTAAGCAGACTTTCTTTTCAGTAACGGCTGCCGGTCTTGCGGTGGTGCAGTGCTGTGAGGGTCTTTTCGTCCTGTTAGCGGGCCGGGCAGGAAATAGAGGAGTATGAATCAAAATGCCCGCAAAATGCGAAGGAGTGAAAATAAGGGAGCTATGCAAGCAACTATCTGGTCGCAGCACTACAGGGATAAGAAATTTATTTAGACGTATCAGGACTAAGAAAGGAGAGACAGCATAGCAAGTTGAAGCTGCAACCACATGTGCAAAACATGTGATCAGAGGGAATGGACATGGCCTGCATTGCTATGCCCTTTCCAGAGAGGAGCTTCAAAAGAGGGAAATAGGAGAGAGACGGTATTGGCAGTGAGAAAGAGAGTGGCAGTTTATTGAGTGAGTGAAGTGGGTGGGAGCAGCAGAGAGTGAGGAGAGAAAGGGGCAGTTTAAGGGAGGGAGAGGGAGAGGCAGGAGCAGAAAGCAAGGGAGAGGGAGAGGGACTAACCATGATGTCGCCTGAATCGACGGTGGCGTAGACAACCCAGTGGTCGCCCGTCTCCATGCGCGTTTGCACGGTGCACTCCATGTAGGAGATCTGAGGTGGAATTGCACGTTGACACATTCGGTTGGAAGGAGACAGCGAGAGAACAAGGAGACTTGTTAGCACATGCATTTGGCGTAAATGACCCAATGGTCGGCCATCTCCATGAGTGTTTGCACCGTACACTCCATGTAGCATTTCTGATGTGGAAAGAATGGAAGAGTGGGAGGGATGGGAACGTGGTTCACTAGGGTGCTAGTGTGTCCATTCAAAGTCATCTGCTACATGCGCAAGCACAGGGATTTTGGGGACCACAGAAACAACACCAGCCAAGTTGGTGATGCTGCTGCTGCTGCTGAGGGATAAGAGCTCCTGACTCAAAAGCACATTCAGCGAACAAGATGGGGCATCACCAGGCACCCCATGTCCTCCAGGCATCCCATGTCCTCCCGGCATCACCGGCATCTCACACACGTACCGCATCTGCCAGGATGGTGGCGCTGTTGCTGGCCTGCTTGGTTGGTAGATCGCCGAACCTAGGCTCCCCGGGCTGGAACGGCTTGAGAAGCTGCTTGGAAACTGCGCCCACGTTCTTCTCCCCGAGCACGCTCAGGGCGAACTTGCCCCCCACCAGCACCAGCGACTCCAGCGCCCTCTCCTTTGCCACCTGCGGGGAGGTGTGAGGGGGGAGGGTGGGCACGCAGAGAGGTGCAGGTGGTGAGGACGGAAGCTCATGGGTAGTGGGAATGGCCCCCACCAGCACCAACGACTCGAGCGCCCTCTCCTTTGCCACCTGGGGGGCAGGACAGTTTGTGGGGAGAGGCATGTGGAGAAGGAGGCATGTGGAAGTGAGGCATGTGGGGAAGTGAGGCATGTGGGGAAGTGAGGCATGTGGGGAAGTGAGGCATGTGGGGAAGTGAGGCATGTGGAGGGGAAGAGGGGAGCATGGATAGAGGGCAAGGGAGAAGGAGGTTATGGGAGGGTGCAGGAGGGGATGCAGGAGGGGGTGCAGGAGGGGGTGCAGGAGGGGATGGAAAATGGTGAGGAAGGGAGGTGGAGAAGGTAGGTTCATGGAAAGGTGGGGCAGGGGATGGTGGGGGCATGGCATGGTGGGGGGGGCATGGCATGGCATGGTGGGGGCATGGCATGGCATGGTGGGGGCATGGCATGATAAGGGCATGGTATGGTGGGGCAATGGTATGAAGGGCATGGCATGATAGGCATGACATAGCGGAGAACGAGGATTGACATAGAAGGGGCATGGCATGGCATGGCACGGTATGGCAGGGCATGGGGGGGAGGGACTCACAGCAACGGTGAGGCCAGGCGGGTTGAAGGAGGCCTGGGAGACCCACGAGGCAAGCATGGCGCTCTGAGCATCACCGTCGCCACTGACGGCTGATACCACACACAGCGACCCCACCACCCGCCCCACCGCCTGCCATGAGGGGGGGTTGAGGGGATGGAGGAAATTGAAATGACAAAAATTATCGGAAGTGATGTAGGTGTTTGATGCATAGAGGGGATGGCGGACGGTGGGATGGAGGTAATTGAAGAAGATGGAGTGAAGGAAATTGTGAGTCGGCACACCATCCATGGCGCTGTGAGCGTCGCTGTATGACCCACGTGACATAACGCATGACCCCGCCGCTCTGCACTGGTCTACCCACTGTTTTGTACCCGTGTGCATAATTTGTCTAAATGGCTTGTCATTATTCCAGCATCCATCCGCTCCACTCCTGACCAAGCCACAACACCTGACTTGGCTAATGCTTTCCGATTCTCACAGGTGGCTTAAAGCCAAGCATTTCAGTAGCTTACCTGCTCCAAACCAGACCCAGATATCACAGCTGACTTGGCCGATGTGCTGCGCTGCTTGGCCTTGCCCTTGCGGATCTGAGCAAAGAGAGAGGCGGGAGGGACGAGAGAGATGGAGAGAGGTGGGGAAAGGTGAATGCGATAACAAGAATGCAAAAAATGGTGTAGGGTGCAAAGAACAGCGCGAACAGTACAGTTTTTAAGTGCTTTTCAGTACTGCGGACAGTGCAGCCACAGCAGGCATTCCGGGAAGGCACTGTGGACAGCATGAGCAACAGGGGCAGCATGAGCACTGCAGGCAGCATGAGCAATGCGGGCAGCATGAGCAATGCGGGCAGCATGAGCAATGCGGGCAGCATGAGCAATGCGGGCAGTGCAATGACTCACCTCCCTGGCAAGGTCTCGGCCACTCTCTTCACAGATCTGCAGCATGCCCTCCGTTGGCTGGCACATTGGGGCAGAGAGAGAGAGGTGGGACAGGCAAGAGCGGGTGGGAGAGGCGAGAGCGGGTGGGACGGGAGGGATGGGAGGGAAAGAGATGGAGGAAGCGGAACCGCAGGTGTAAGCTGGAGATATGAAACTGCAGAGGTACGGACACACGAGGCGTGCAATACACCAACCAACACACCACCCAACGCACAACAAAAAGCCCCCAGCACCCACACAGCACCTTCCTCAGTGCCTCCCCCTGCCCACCTTGAACTTGCAGCGGATGGGCGGGAATCCAAAGGAGAACCCGCCATCTTTGAGCAACTGCTCCATCTCATCCACCGCCTCCCCGCTCCACCCGAACGACCCAAACACGCCTGTGGGCTTGCCCTTGGCAGCAGACTCGTTGAGAATGACGCCCAGCGCCTCCTTCATGGGCGTGGGCATGTGGCCGCCCAGCGTGGGGCTGCCGCACACGAAGCCGCAGCAGCGCTGG